ACTGGTATCAGAGCTGATCTATCTACCAGGACACCACTGTCAGGGCCAGAAATGAAGATTCGAAGATACTCTGTGGGCCTGGTGGTTGCTTGTGTGACTTTGTCGTGGCTGACTTTCTCCCTCCTGGACCGGCAGCACAGCCCCAGACATCAACATGTGGGCAGAGAGTGCCATTGTCCCAGGGAGTCTTCCCGAGAGTGTGGCTGCTTGCCGGGCGTCCGCCTGTGTTCTGCCTGCCTCTGGAGACCCGGCGAGTCCCCCTGGTTTGACAGTCACTATGTAAGGGCCATAGAGCCCCTGCAGAGGTCAGAAGATTTCGTATCCTACGATGCTCTGATACTTTGGCTGGTTAGTGCGTATTCTTGATCTCCATCCAGCCTGTGCCCAGACCCCAGCCTTGGCCATCTCTCATGGCACGAGGCTCTGACCCACCCATGCAGGCAGCTGAAGCCTGGACTGACCCCCTACACTCATTCCTGCATTCCTTCTAGGGACTTCAGAGAGTTAAGCCAGAGCAGAAGGTGGACAATAAGCAGTGGAATCACGCATCCTCTCACCACGCACTAGGCCGTGCAGGGTCCAGCTGCCTAACCTGTGCTGTTGTGGGAAGCTCAAGGTCCTTAAAGGGCTCCGGCCATGGTTTCCGAATTAACCAACACGATCTGATCCTCAGGTGGGGTGCAGGAGAGGAAATAGACACGAATAAGGCCAGACTGATTCCTCCTCTTTCCGAATAACCACTCCTCCCTGTTGTCCAGGATGAATCAGGCGCCTGTCCGAGGCTTTGAGATGGATGTGGGAAACCGGACAACCATACGCATTATGTACCCTGAGGCTGCCAGGGCCCAGGAGCCTGGCACCCAGCTGTTGCTGCTTCCGCTGAATTCCTCTGGTCTGGAATGGTTCATCAAGACCCTGCACCTACAGCACTCAGTCAGGAAGCCACAAAACCCTGGGTATGACCCTCAGGGGACAGTGATGGGGGCAGGGGATGACAATGGGGATGCCAAAGAGCTATTTTTGCTTAATATTAGGGTAACCCCAAGACTTACTTAAACCTTGGTGGCTGTTGAGTGAAACGCCTCTGAAATCCAAACCCCTCCCCCACACACAGTTGTTTGTTTTTGTTTTTTCTTTAAGATTTCAGATAGTACATTTTCCTAGTGGAACCACAGAGAAGAAAGACCAGGTGAGAGACCCAGGCAGCAGCAGGGAGGCGGGGAGGCCGTGTGGGTGACACTGGGTGAGCTCCAGCTTGCCTCTGCCTACCTTTGCAGGTGCTGGTGATCAGTCTCTCTTTTCTCAAGTACATCCAGGAGCAGTGGCTGGCCCAGCAGGGGATCCACCCATCCTTGGGGTTCGTGGCTCTGCTATACGCTTTGCACACCTGTGACCAGGTAGAGGCCCATTCCTAATCCACATCCCTCCCTTCCTGTGTGCCCTTATCCTCCCTTCAATCAAATTCAGCCCTCACTTCAACGCTCTGCAGGATCTGAGCTCGCCTCTCCCTGAGGTTCCCACACTGGGTGGCCTAATACTTTCTCCCAAGCTGCTCACTCTGCCTGGACCACCAAGCCCCACCCCTACCTTCCCATCCTCCCTAAGGACTCTTCTCCAGCTGAGGCACAGAAAGCCCTGGGTTCTGTCATCCATCTGCGACCCCTCTTCCGAGGCCCCCTGCTCCCAACCCCAAGAAGCCTACAGGCCAGATATTGAGTATATTTTTAAAGCATAGCAGGTATGGTAGGCATGGGGGAGGGACAGCATCCTAGGGCAGATCAAGACAGCATCTCTATCTCCCATCCTTCCTGTCTGCCAGGTATCCTTATTTGGCTTTGGAGAAGATCATCTCCAAAGGTGGTCCCATTACTGGGACAACAGCTATTGGTTTGAGAAGAGTGCACATTTCCCAGCAGAATCCCGGGTCATCCGTCAGCTGCAATGTAACAAGAAGATCAGAAACTACAGCTGAGCTGGTGCCTCAGGAGGCCCCAGGTGGCCCCGGGCTTGCCAAAATGTCCAAGAGGAACTGGGCACCAGGCACACCCTAGAGGGAAATGGCTCTGCCCACTGAATAAAACCCTAGCTTATTCCTCTCCCTGGATTTCGAATGGCATTACAAAGCTGCCTTCTGTAACAGGGCCCTGACTGCCACCGCTAGGCCACTGCGTTCTCACACCACATCTTATCAAAGAGTAGGATCAGATGCAAATGGGGGTGGGGAGTAAACTTAAAAGTTGAAAGCCAATCACCTGGGCCAGGATACAGCACCCCCTGGCAAATGCAGAGGCAAGACCATACCAGTCTGGGCTGCAGCACTCAATGAGCACACGTGAAACCCAGCAGGTAGGGAACGAACACAGTAGGGGGAATGCATGGGGCTTCCCTGCTGGACCACTGATGAGCATGAGAGCTGGGATTGGGAGCAGACCAGGCTGGGTAGGGCAACAACACCTGTTAGCCTCATGTGAGTTGGATGAGAGAAAAGCCAGGCTGGGTTGACTGTTCCTACAGGTGCATGCAAAAGCCAATGAGTGTGGGTTGGTTGGGCTTTGCTGCAATATCAGCTGGCAGGTGCTGGCACGGGGGACAAATTCTGTCAAGTTCAACCGCAGAACCACCTGGAGAGTGCAAGATCTGGGATTGGGAGTGAGCCCAGTTGGGAAACAGTGGGCACCTCCCTTTTGGGTTGCCACTCTGGTGAGCATAAGAACCAGGACTGGGATAGGCATGGCTACACAGTGACACCTGCCGACATGTGTATGGGCTGGATAGTGAGGCTGGTTGGGTTTAATGTCCATTGACATGTATGAGAGGTGAATGGGATGTGGGACAGAGAGGACCAGTCTACTGTACATATTGGCAAGCATGGGAACCAGGGCAGGGGGTGGGCCTGGTGGGGGTTATTGTGGGTTGCCCCGACTAGGCTGCAGCTCTCATTGATTTACATGGCCAAGTGTGTGTTTGGACAGGACTGGGCTGGGCTGCAATACCCATTGATTTGCACAGAGGACAGGGCTGGAGACAACTGACCCAGCAATTGCAACCAACAGTATGCCTGTAAGCTGACTGGGGCAACAGAATGTGAGGACAACAGGCTGCTGTATCATTGAAGAGTGGCCTGCAGTGCTGCGATGCAGTGGGATGATGGGTGGGAGTTCTGGCCTGCAGCAGACAGCCCCCTGGCTTCCTGGGCTAAGTGCTGACCAGGGCCTGTGGCTGTACGTGCTCTAATCTCACAGCAGCATCTCCCCTCCATTGAACACTCTTGCCCACAGGTCTCCACCTGTACCGAGGTGGCAGGTCCACGTGGGCTGTGGTGTGACCATCATTGCCCAGGCACCAAGCTCAGAGACTCACTATGAACATAGCAGCACAACCTGCAGACTCAGGTGCTCTCTGGGAACAAGCAGACAGCTCAGACTCCGCTCCTTGCTGCTTTCAAGCTCTGTCACAGCACAGAGGACAAGAGGAAAGGAGCCGGAGACTTCTGCCCATCTGCCACCACGGGTTCTGGTGATTAACCACAGCTTCCAGGGACGGACCCATGAGAAAGGGCTGGACAGCTAGAGGCACTTCCCATTGGTGGGTCTTCCACCTCAGCAGGTCCCCTGGTGCTGGCCTCATTCCCTCAGGTGAGGTCGGGTCCTGCCCTAGTGATCCACACTCTCCTTCCTGTTTCTCCCTTCAGGTTCCCCTAGAGATGGCCCCATTACTGGCCAAGGCAAATGGACTTGAGAAAGCTGGGGCATTGACTCCCCAGCTGCAGTGTGAGGGAAGCCTGTGCTCACTCCTGAACACCTGCTGGGGTGCGGAGGCTTCAGGGTGAGGGCCACAGTGGAGGCCGGGGACTCAGCAGGGCTGGGAGAGGTGAGAAGAGCAGATAGTCTAGGACTGGGCCCTGTTTGCAGCCTCCGAAATGTCCTTCACACACTGGCAGGTCGCTCCCTGGCAGACTCTGGTGTGGCTCATGTGCTACAGATTATGACACCAAGAAGGAACTCTAAGGGAACCACAGGGCCCCCTGCCAGCTTCTGAGCTGGGATTGGGCCAGGCTGGAGCCAGGAGCCAGGAGCCTGGATACAGGGACTGGGAGCCAGGAACAGGGACCCCGGGGCCAGGAGCTGGGATATAGGAGTCAGGAGCCAGGAGCACAGTCCAAGTTCCAATTGTGGATGGCAGGAATCCCCTCAGGAGCCACAGCCAGGCATCAACCTGGACACCCAAATGCAGGGACCCAGGTATTCTAACCAGCCCCCTAACTACTAAGCTGAACTCCAGCCCCAACTTCCATGAATGAAATCAGCTGTTGGTTTTGAGGAATTTATCGACAATAGATCTGAATGTATGAGCTGAGTTGGCCAGACCACCACTCTGAGAGCCACTCCTCAAGCAACAAGTTTTGCCACAATCCCCAACTGGCCTGTCATTCACTGGGATGACAGGGGATCAGTTCCCGTTGCCATGCCCAGCAAGGGGACACTTTAAGGCATTTATTTATGCAGAGCAGATGGGAAATGAAGTAAGAACTGAACTCCATAGACTCCACCAGGAAGGTAAAGGTAAACAGTGTTTGTGAGACCACTGGCCTTGTTACACTTGGTGGTATCTCCCTGTCCACAGACAGAACCAGGGGCCCACTCTAATGCTCTATCCCAGCTCTCTGCCACGGGTGGACTCTGGTGTCCCTCCCTAGGTGGTCTCAGCAATGGCTCCCAACTCCTCCTCGTTCTTCAGGGACAGTTCACACCTCCCTTCTGCAACCCCTGCATTTCAGCACCCACGAGTGTGTCTGACGCGAGTGGGTCAGGTCTTACTGGCTGGCCTGCAGAGGCTCTGAGGATGAGGGCTGTCTTGTCCGTGTGTCTTTGGCAACCTTCCCAATCAGTGCACCAGGGGCACTGTAGGTCTCGGTCACCCCACAGAAACCTTTGGCCAAATCTTCTTTCCGATCCTGATGACGTGCTGCTGTGGCCCAGTTATACATGGCAGCAGAGAACTAATACAAAAATACCAGGTTTATTGTGGACAAGGAAGGCGAGGGGAGGCGAAGTGCTGGGAAATACAACCTAGCTGAGAGGCAGCGGATGCCCCTATACAGGGCCAGGCCCTCTGGGGGGCTCTGTGGCCTGGGCACTGCCCACTCTTGCAGGTTTCCTCCTCCTGGGGCAGCTGATCTGGGGCATCCAGGTGGGTAAACAGAGACGGATAGATCTGTAGCCAGGCAGAGGGACCAGAACTCCCCTGCAGTTGTCTGTCTTGTCCGTGAGTTCCTGCGCTGGCCTACATCCCATCCTGGCTGCAGCTGCTACCTGGGGGTGCATTCAGGGGTCATGGGGCTGGAGTTGTGGTGGAGTAGGACTGGCCCTGGGGACATCAGACTTTGAGTTAGGGATTGGTCCAACTTGCGAGTCTCAGCTTCTAGGACAGTGGCCTCGGGGGCTTGGGCCACTGCAAGGAGTGAGTGGGAGAGGCTGTGGTGCAGGTCTGCAAGTTCACGGCTGGTCTGCACAGAGCGCGCAATGTAGTCCTGCCTCTGCTTGCGCTCCAAGGTCAGCTGGGCTCGCAACAGGGCCACCTGGGGGCAGGAAAACCAAGAAGGGTAGAGTGGAGGACCCCAAATCTGCCTTACTTCTGCTCTGAAGCTACCCCTGTAGCTCTTGTTGGTACAGCGTTCTAATTCATTCATTTGAGAAAAGGAGGGAGAGAGAGATATGCAGAAAGGAACCCCATCTGCTAGCTTACTCCCCAAACACCTGCAACATTCAGGACTCAGAGCCTGGAACTCCATCTGCGAGTTTCAGGCACTTGAGCTATCACCCCGTGCTGTCACCAGGAGGGTGGAGGCAGAAGCACAGCCTGCACTTGAACTCGGGTCCTCTGGTGGGAGATGCGAGCATCCTAAACAGCCTCTTAGCTGCACCAAATGGTCACCTGCCCTTTGGAAGGTTTTAAAATACATTCTAAATTGACTAGACTGGGGGCGAGGCCTGCGTGTATTTTTTCCTCAAAGCTCCCAGGAAATTCTAATGTGGCGCCAAGGTTTAGAATCATTAACCGATCCTCCCACGGGGCTGCGGAGATGACAGGTGAAGCTAAGGGGAAGCCTAGCGACTGGCATCGAGGATTAGGGGGTGGCACGAGGTGCTGAGGGTACAGAACTTGAGGAGGTACTCTGCATCAGGAGCAAATGTTTCGGGCAGAGGGTTAAGCCATTGCTTGCAGTGTGTGCATACCATCTCGAGTGCCAGGATCTGCTAATGCACATGTGAAGGTGTGAGATGATGGTCCCAGTCCTTGGACCCCTGCCACCCACATGGGAGATCCAAATGGAGTTACAGGCTCCTGGCTGTGACTATGCAGCTAGAATGAGCGAGCGAACAGATGGAAGATTTCTGTCAATGCCTTTCTTTTTTTTTAAAGATTTATTTTATTTTTATTAGAAAGGCGGATATACAGAGAGCAGAGACAGAGAGGAAGATCTTCCATCCGATGTTTCACTCCCCAAGTGAGCAGGCCACAGGCAGGGAGCTGGAAGGGAAGTGGGGCTGCAGGGATTAGAACCGGCACCCATATGGGATCCCGGGCGTGCAAGGTGAGGACCTTAACCACTGCGCCACCGCGCCGGACCCTGTCAATGCCTTTCAAACAGATAAATCTTTAAAACGTTTTTTTCTCTGAAGTTTTTTTTTTTTTTAAGAATAAATGCCTCCTTAAATTCTTAAATATACCCAATAGATCTCTCTGGTCTCGCCTTAGACAAGGAAGTTCCTGGCTCCTGGGTTTTGCCTGGCTCAGCCCTGGCCATTTGAGGAGTGAACCAGGACATGGGAGAACTCTATCTCATTATGGAACTCTTCCAAATCAGTAAAATAAAGCTTTAAAACTCAGTTCCAGGGGCCTGGCGGCGTGGCCTAGCAGCTAAAGTCCTCGTCTTGAACATGCTGAGATCCCATATGGGCGCCGGTTCTAAACCTGGCAGCCCAGCTTTTCATCCAGCTCTCTGCTTATGGCCTGGGAAAGCAGTCGAGGATGGCCCAAAGCTTTGGGACCCTGCACCCGTGTGGGAGACCCGGAAGAAGTTCCTGGCTCCTGGCTTCGAATCAGCGTAGCTCCAGCTGTTGCGCTCACTTAGGGAGTGAATCATCTAATGGAAGATCTTCCTCTCTATCTCTCCTCCTCTCTGTATATCTGACTTTGCAATAAAAATAAATAAATCTTTTTTAAAAATCAATTCCAAACTTATCACTACTGGGCCTTGAAAAGGAGAAACTTCAGCTGAGGCCTACAAGGTCAGAAGGCACTCGACACAGTCTCCCGGAGAGGGGCAAATTGGTCCCGGCTGTGAGGCAGACCCCGCCCTGGGGCCAGGCTCCTCTGCCTCGTGTGCTGGTAGCCATCTTGCCTACCAGGATGGTGCCACCTGTGCTGGCCCGTCCTCTAAGCATTTGTGGTCTCTTCTCAGTCCTTCCCTTCCTCAGTGAGGATCTGGAGGTCTTACATGGTTCTGTCCTCTCCATTCCTACCCCGGCCAAACAAGACAGGGAGCAGGGCTTTTCCTGGCCCTCATGGGGACTGGCGTTTGCAAGGTTGGCGCTGTCTCCCTCTCCCTGTTTGAGGCACAGAGGTCCAGGGACTCAGCAGACCCTAAGGCATCACTGCCCGAGTGTGAGGGAAAGTTCCAACAGATCCTTCCAGAATGTACCTCTTTCTGTAGTTCCATCAGTTGCTTGGCCTGGGAGGAACCCTTCTGTTCTCCTTTTCCATCCTAGGGAAGAACAGCACCACGTCAGAACAGACCCTTCCACATTTGGGTTTCCTTCAGCCACCTCCTTATGGTCCTGCAGGTACTGGCAAAGACCAGACAGGCCTGAACTTCAGCTGAACCCCACGGGGCACCATGGCCTTGGGGCAAGGCAAGGCTCTGGAGGGTCCACACCGACCTAATAGGCAACACCCACAGAGACGGCACTGAATGTCCAAAGGCCAGGACACATCTGTTTCTTTGGGGCACTTTTCTACTGAACAGAAGGAACTGTGGGTCCGCTTGGTGCCTGCTTGGAGCCATGAGCTGAGGATGCAGAAGGTCTGCCCTGGTCAGCTGTCCTCAAAGGCAGGGAACAGGCAGGTCCTACCTCTGGGCTTCAGGGCTCTATAGAGATATAGATGTGGAGCAGCTAAAAGGGGGCTGGTCAGCACGGGTCCTCCCTAAACCCTTTGCACCACAAAGGGACTCTGAAAGGAGAAATGCCCTGCACCCTAACCATGTAAACAGAGCATAACAAAGAGACTGAGATCCTGGGCAGGTCTGGCTAGTGAGCACCACAGCAACCAAACATTGGGGAATCTGCCAGAAGCCCTGTGAGCCCAGCTCCTATAGGTGGGGATCTGGGAGTGACCGATCCAGGGTCCCTTTAGGGTGCAGGGCCACCGGCCTTGACTACACCTGGCCACTGATGATGGGGACACACTGAGAGCTGTCACATGGGGCGGAGCCCAGCCAGGAGGGGCACTCTCGATTGGTTGAAGCACCATATTGTGTACAAGATGGTGGCCTGAGATATGCAATGCAGAGGGTGGCTGGGGTTGGGATCTCTTAAGGTTGAGGTTGAGGCAAACAAACCTGCTGTGTGGGTGATGAAATGGCGCTTTCACTGGTCTCCTGGGCCCCTGCCCGGGACAGGCGCATGGAATCCCTCTTCAGCTTCCTCCGCTCACGCTCCACCTGCCAGGATATGGAAGAGGAATCAGGGCTCGGCTGAGTATAAAAGGACAGCCACCATGGGGACTCCTGGGCTAAAGACAGAGCCTGCCAGGACAGCACAGGAAGTGCTCCGGCATGGAGGAGGGAGTGCCAGGCCCTTGGGTCTCTGTGCAAGGTCAGCTAGTTTCTCATGCAGGAAGTGTGAGGCCTTGTGGCTGTTTGGCTCTGTCACAATGAGTCCATTCTATCGCTGCGGAGGGCAGACAGTGCCACAGGCAACGGCTGTGCTCCAGGAGAAAGGGGCCTTCAGAAGCAGCAGTGTGAGGGACTCAGCCTTAGGGATGCCTACTCTGGGTGCTGCAGGAGAAGCAAGGTGCCTGCAGGACTGTGGAGGAGGAGCTGAGGACAGCACGAGCTACTCACCTGCTCCAGGGTGCTGCGCAGCTGCAGGTTGTGGCGCTGCAGCCTGCCCCGGTCAATCTCCAGCCGAGCCACGGCCTGCTGTAGGTGTTCAAGCCTTTCTCTCCACCGTTCCTTCTCCTCCCCTCCAGGGCTGTGCTCCAGCTCCGGCTCTGCTCTCGAGACCTGTGGGGAAGAACCTGCTCGACTAGACAGCCTCTTAGGGAGGGGAGCAGATAGGGGGTTCAGGGACCCAGGTCTGGCAGGTCTGGGGTCAAGGGACCCAGTTCTCAGGGGTGGAGGATTGGGGGAGCCCCTGGCTAGTAGTCTCCTCCTGGGCCATCGGCACCACCCCAGTCCCCGGCTCACCTCTCCAGGCTGTCCGCCCTGCTCTCCCCTGGGACCCCGCTCTGCTGTGATGGTCAAGCCTGGGCTGGGCTGCCGCTCCTTCTCCAGGGCCTGTCTGGTAAGTTCCAGTTCCTCCTGGGACATTGAGGTATAGGACAGATCCACACCATGCCACCCGCAGACCCAGACCACCCAACCCTTGAGCCTTGGAAAACAGTCTGCTCTTCCCAGCAGGTGACAGGCTTATTTTTCCTGCAGCCTTGGAGTGATTCTAGTCTAGAACCTTCATTTTTATAGATGAATAGAACAAAGGAACACAGGGGTTGACCCTAGGTTGCAGAGCTAGGAGCAGAATTCCCCCACTCCCTTAGAGCCCAGTGATCGTCCTGTGCAATGATCAGGGACTCCAAATCCCAACTTCCTGAAATTTTTTTAAAAGATTTATTTATTTTTATTGGAAAGGCAAATATACAGAGAGGAAGATCTTCCATCTGCTGATTCACTCAAGTGTCTGCAACAACCAGAACTGAGCCGATCCGAAGCCAGGAGCCAGGACATTTCTCCTTGGGGTCTCCCACTTGGGTGCAGGGTCCACCCTCCCAAGCCACAAGCAGGGAGCTGGATGGGAAATGGGGCTGCCGGGACATAAACCAGCTCCCATATGGGATCCCAGCAAGTATACGGCAAGGTCTTTAGCCGCTAGGCTACCATGCTGGGCCCCCAACTTCCTGATTTATAAAACGACACCCTGGGGTGGGGAGTGGGGTCGCTGAGAAGAGAGAAAGACCCTGTGATAAAAGCCTAGGCCAGGCAGCCAACTGCGCTGACCCCTCTTCCGGCTTTGCCATGGGGTAGCCAGCCAACTTGGATAAGTTACTTTGCTCTCAGCTGTTATGTCTCAAGACAAAATGAGTTCTTCTCAGGGTAGTTTTGGAAGAAAGTGAGAATAACAGTGCCTGTCAGGGAAAGGGCTTAAAACAAAAGGTCCCACTGGGGGCTGGAGCAGTGGCTCAACCGGCTAATCCTCCTGCAAGTGCCTGCATCCCACATGGGCGCCATGTCCCAGCTACCCTACTTTCCATCGAGCTCTCTACTCATGGCCTGGAAAAGCAGCGGAGGATGGACTAAAGCTTCGGAACCCTATACCTGCACAGGAGACCCAGAATAAGCTCCTGACTCTGCTGACTCTGGATCGGCTCAACTCCAGCCATTGTGCCCATTTGGGGATTGAACCGGAGAATGGAAGATCTCTGTCTTTCCCTCTCTCTATAAATCTGCTTTTCCAACTAAAATGTATACATCTTTTTTTTTTAAGGTCCCACTGCAATGATGTGCTGCATCTAAATGACCTCCTTGAGTAAGGAGAGGGGAAGCGGCCCTGATGGCAGTTATGTGTCTGAATGTGTTCTCAGGAGATCTAACAGCCTTGCTAGGAAGGGTCCCCTGCTCAGGCATGGGCTTTTCTGCTGCAGCGCCTGTGCACTCTACAACCATTAGCCTGTTCCACAAGTTCATTCCCTATTTTATTCTAAAAACATCCAAGGGTCAGTGGAGGGGAGGAACCAACTGCAGAACTGTACCGAGTTCACACCTCTACCTGCTGCCTTCAACAGGAGCAGAAATGGGAAAGCTTCCAGAAAGCAGGTTGCTAGGGGTGCTGTCCCAGATGGGAGTAGATGGGGAGTGTTCTCTGCAGCTCAGGCAAGGGATCAGGAGATGGAGTTAATTTCCTCAGGGGAAAATGGGCTGGGTTTCTGTTGGCAAAAAAGACTGCCTCTCTGTTCTGCAGTCAAGCTACCTTTGCTGATTGAGCGTGGGTTTTATGCTCCATTCTGGGGGGTACACTGTTTTGGGGGTACACAGAAGAAATCAAACCAAGTCATGTATCAACAGCTAGGCCAAATGCCTGCCCCCAGACCTAACTAACCTTGGGTTAGACGTCAGCCATATTGTACTGCAGCTCCTTTTCTACTAGACAGAGCTCCAAGAGGTGAGGGACCATAATTGTGTTGTGCCCTGTGGACCCTCTGGGGCAGCACAGTATCCTGAAATCCACACGGGCATGTGCACGATCTCAGCTTTCTCATATCCTTGAGGGGTGAGAAGGTCCAGGGTGGCAGGGAGCCCCTGAGCTCAGTCAGATGGGGCTCTCTCCCATGGCCCTTACTGCCCATGCAGTGACTCACCAGTAATGTCTGCTGCTCTGATTCCCGCTCCAAGACTGAGGCCTGTAGGAACAGGGCCACCTCTTGCAAACTGCTGACACTGGCCTTGCTCTGGGCGAGGGACAGTGCCAAGTCCTGGGCTTTCTCCCTCCACTCGATCTCCCTGGCCTCAGTCTGCCTCAAGGCCACCTGCAGTCGCTCCAGGTCGCGCTGCAGCTTGGCACTTGACAAATCCGTTCTCGGAGACAGCTCCTCCGTGGAGGAAGCTTTGTGGTTGCGGTGCAGATCCTCTAGATCCTTCCTTTGCTGGGCCTCCCTCAGCTCCAGGAGTTCTTCTTCCTTCTGGGCCAGAGCCAACCGTAACTCCCTTAGGTTCTCATGAAGACCCGCCAGCTCTTCACCTTCCTGCCCCGAATTCCGCTTGTCTTGGTCCCTCTTGGCCAGAAACTTCTCCAGCAGCTGGCCCTGTTCCTTCTGCTGTCTCAGTTCTTTGTCCCTTTGGGTAAGTGCCTGCTGCAGCTGCTGCACGTGCTCTTGGTGTCGGAGACCCTGGTCCTGGATCTCCTCTTCTCGTGTCCTCAGGGCCTCTTCCAGCTGCCGGGCATGTGTCTGGCAGGTGACCAGGGTGGCCTGCAAAGTGGCGGTGCTAGCCTCTAGACTGTGGCTCAATTCTGTCTGCTCCAGGAGGTGCTGCTCTTTCTCCTGCAGAACAGCCTGGGCCTTGCTGAGGGCCTCCTGCAGTGCCGTGGCCTGGCCCCAGGCAGCCTCCTCCTGCCGCTGGGAGAAGTGGTTTTCTGCCCGTAGAGCTTCGAGCTCCTGGTCCCGTTCCTTAAGCATGGCCTCTGCCTTTTGCCACCTGTCCTGTAGGTCCTTGGCCTCTATGTCGCGTTCCTGGGTGTGCTCTGCACACTGCTGCTGGAGGGCCAGCAGGGCCTTCTCCTGCTCACGAGACTCTGCCCTCAGGTCTCCCAGCACCTCCTCCAGGGCCTGGACCTGGCGTCCCTCTGCTGCCAGCTCCTCCTTCAGCCTTCGCACCTGCTCCTTGTGGTCCTCCAACTCCCCCTGGCACTCCTTCAGGGCCCCCTGGGCCTGCTCCAGAGCCCCCTCAAGGGTGCTGGCCCTTTCCTTCACACTCTCCTCCTGGCATTGAGCCTGCCGTTGCTGGCGCTGCAGGGCCTCGAGTTCCTGGTTCCTCTGGGCTAGGGCTCTCTGGGCCTCTTCGAGCTGACCCTGGAACAACTGCTGCTTCAGCTCCCCTTGCTCCCTGGATTCCTGTAGGTGCCGCTGTAGGACCACTATCTCCTGCTCCCGCTGGGTCAGCAGCAGGCTGCTCTCGGCCACTTTCCTGTGCAGGCCCTGCAGCTGCTGCTCCAGCTGGCCCCTGTGCTCCTGCAGCCCGTGGATCTGCTCCTGCTGGCTCTCAACTTCCTTCTCCTTCTCCCGCAGGATGAGCTTCATGTGCTCCAGGCTCCCCCGCTGTGCTTTCCCTGGGCCCTTCCCCTCCTCAGCCTGCTCCTGTGTCGGCTGTCTATGAGAGGCCAGCTCCCGGCCTCGCTCCCTCAAGGACTGCTTGATTTGCTCCAGGTCCTCCTCCAGGATCTTGGTCTGTAGCGTCCTCTGATCTTCCAGCACCTGAATCCTCTCCTTCTGCAGCGCCAGCTCCTGGTCCCGCCTCGCGAGGTCCTGGGCCAGCTCCTGCTGCTGCCTCTCCAGCTCGCGGATCTGCTCATGCTGGGACCTCACTTCCTGGTCCCTCTCCTGTAGCTCTCTTGCCAGGAGGGTGTTGTGGCTCTCCAGCTCCTGGATCTGGCTGCTTTGCATCTGCAACTCCTGGCTTTTTTCTTCCAGGTCCAATGTGAGGTGGGTCAGAGCCACCCGTTGCATCTCCCGCTGGCCCTCCAGCTCCCCGATCACCTTCTGCTGGCACTCCACTTTGTGCTGGCTTTCCTCGAGTTCCAAGGCCAGGCATTCGAGAGTCACCAGCTGCTTTTCGAGGTCCTGAATCTGTCCCCTCTGGGACTCGATCACCTGGGCCTTCTTCTCCAGTTCCAGGAGCTGGTGCTCCAAAAGGTCCTTCTGGGTCTCCTGGTCCTTCTCGAGTTCCCTGATCTGCTCCCTCTGCACAGTTAGCTTCTGCTCTCGTTCCTGGACGGCCATAGGCAGGTGCTCTAATACGGAGCGGCACTTCTCCAGCTCCTGAATCTGTTCCTGTTGTAGGTCCACCTCCTGGTTCCTCTTCTTCAGGTCCAGGGACAGCAGCTCTAAGGCAGCCTTCTGCATTTCCCGTTGCTTCTCTAGTTGCAGGATCTCTCCCTGCAAAGTCTCTATCTCCCTTTCTTTTTCAGACAGAGTCTGGGTCAGCAGGGCCAAGTTCTCCTGCAAAGCCTTCCCTTGGGCCGCCTTCAGTTCACCCTGCTCTTGCAGGGCCTGGGCTCTCTCCCGCTCACTCTCCACCTCTTCATGTTTTAGTTTCAGTGCCGAGCGGGCCATCTTCAGGTCTTCTTCCAGGACGCTGGCCGTGCTTGCCCGAGCCCTGGCTTCTGCGACCGAGGACTGCAGATGTTCCACCTGGGTCGCCAGGTTCTCCTTGGCTGTCTGCAGTAACTCTCGCTCACTCTGGAAAGCAAGCAGCAAAGCTATCTTAATCTCCACTTCCTTAGCACTCCAAGGCTGGTTCTTCCTTTTCTCATTCTGCGGGGCACCAGCAAGGACAGGGACTAGGGGGATGGGGTGGGGAGTGATATTCCACTTAAGTCAACACTATAAGAGCCTCCCTACCGCCTCCCAAGGGTCCTATGCCCAAAAGGGACAGTGTGGCACAAATAAGAGGCAGCCCCAGATTCTGGGCCTTTAAGGCAAGGGACCAAAATCTTACTCTTCATTCAGGAGAGTAACTGGAGAAGGAGTCACTGTGACCTTAACAGTGGTGTTCTGGGACATGGGGAAAAGCTGGAAGAATCAAGTGACTTGGGCCCGGTGGCGTGGCCTAGCATCTAAAGTCCTCGCCTTGAACGCGCCGGGATCCCATATGGGCACCGGTTCTAATCCCAGCAGCTCCACTTCCCATCCAGCTTCCTGCTTGTGGCCTGGGAAAGCAGTGGAGGACGGCCCAAAGCTTTGGGACCCTGCACCCGTGTGGGAGACCCGGAAGAGGTTCCTGTTTCCCGGCTTCGGATCGGCGAAGTACCGACATACCGACAGTTGTGGTAACTTGGGGAGTGAATCATCGGACAGAAGATCTTCCTCTCTGTCTCTCCTCCTCTCTGTATACCTAACTTTGTAATAAAAATAAATAAATCTTAAAAAAAAAAAAAAGAATCAAGTGACTTGCAACAGGAAGCTGGGCCCATGATCATAAGCCAAAGTGGGGCCTGGTCCCTGAGTGACTACTCTTGAGGTAAACCTCTCCCTAAAACCAGCATCACCTTACCTGGGCTTCCATTTTCTGTAGTTCTGCTTGCCTTAGGCGGCCCTGAAGGGAGGCCACAGTCTCCTCCAGTTCCTTCAGCTCGGATTTCAAGGCACTCTGTTTTCTTTCCCACTTGGATTTTTCTTTGGGAAGAAAGGTAGTGACATCAGACTTGTTGTGGTTGGGGGTGGGGAAAGGGGGATGCAGAGGCAGATGGAGGACGGCGAAGAGAAGCAAAGGGGACAGAGCCCAGAGGAGAGAATTATATCCAGGCTCCTAGAGATTCTCTGCCTGCCAGCTGCTCCTTTCTGTCTGGGGTCCCTGATGCTGCCAGCCCAAGCCCTGCTGCCAGATCCTGACGTTTACTCATCCCGATCAGAGTTCATCCTTGGACTCCATGTGGGATTGAACTAGTGGCACTGGAGATCCCTGCCAGCCCCCTCTTCTATGATTTTGCAAAGGTTCTTAGGGACCTGGTGGCTCTGCAGGGTACCTGACCCCGACCCCATTTCTGTCACATGCACTGGAACTCAGCTCTGGAGAGACTTGACAAAAACACCCAAACGGCAGGAGCTGCCCCCTGAGTTGTTTCCATCCCTTCTGCAACAAAACCTTCAGCCTCAAGATTTTCGCCTCTCGTTTCCTTTCTGAGAGGTTATGACCCCTCCCAGCCCTTGGCTGGAGTGTGGAATGTTCTCCCTGGATCCCCTCTGCTCACATTCTCCCAGTCTTCTGCCATGAAAGGCAGAAGACCTGAGGACATGTAAGAGAAGATAAAAATAAGTAAGCAGTGTGGATAAATGGCAGAGATGTAGGATTGTATCATGTTCTCCTAGTCCCAGTCCTGGGTCTCCCTAAGAAACAAAAAATACACTTACCTCAGGCCTTGCTCTCAGTTCACCTCCCAATCTTTCTGGGCTGCCCCTCAAAAGACGCAAGAAGCACAGAAACAGATCCAGGGGCTCCCACCCCAACAGATGGTACCTCCTCATTGCAGGTTAGCTGGAGAGTTGCTGTCAGGCCTGTCACTGCCCATTCCAGGCTGCCCTCCCTCCTTGCCTCCCTGCCCGCTTGTAGGGTCTTACCTTCCTGGTTCTGGGAGAGCTGATGCTGTAGGCCCTGCAGTTCTGCCTGGAGCTGGCTCTTTGCAGCCTCAGCCTCGGTGAGACACTGTTCCAGCTTCTGGGCCTGATCCTTCAGATCATCCTGGGAAAGGACACATAGAGACAGCCTCAAACTCCTCATCTTCTACAAACCAACCCAGCCTGGCTCAAGAACTCACCTCAACCTATTTATTTATTTGAAAATAAGGTGCTCAGGCTCGGTGTGGTAGCCTAGTGGCTAAAGTCCTCACCTTGCATGTGCTGGGATCCCATATTGGTGCTGGTTCTAGTCCTGGCAGCCCTGCTTCCCATCCAGCTCCCTACTGTGGCCTGGGAAAGCAGTCGAGGACGGCCCAAAGCCTTGGGACCCTGCACCCTAATGGGAGACCCAGAGAAAGCTCCCGACTCCTGGCTTCAGATTGGTCAGCTCCAGCCATTGCAGCCATATGGAGACTGAACCAGCAGATAGAAGAACTGACTCTCCTTCTCTGTAAATCTGCCTTTCCAATGAAAAGAAATAAATCTTTAAAGAGAAATCTCAATGGTCACAAATTTGTTGAGTTGTTCTTGGAGGCTTCTGATAGCTGAGAGAAAAATGGTCCCAGAAAACACCACACATTCATGGGGGTTAGTAGTGGGGAGTACTCCTTCATGATCTTCACCCAACTAATTCTTGCCACAACCCTAAGAGACAGGGACACAAGCAGGGGCAAGGAAACCCAAATACCCAAATACTCTATTTGACATTGCTTGGGTGCTCCTGACAGAAGTGGCAGTCACCCTAACTTTACCTCAGGAATAAAACAGGCCAAACAATTGCCTGCATCTTTGTCTCACGCTTTTCAGGGGTAGGAGGGGAGCTCAAGGAAGAAGGGTGTGGAGCCTACCCGGGCCTGCTGAGTCTTCCATAGGTCCTGGTGGAGCTTGCGCAGGGCGGAGGCTACCGCCTCGGCTGAGAAGGCGGTCAGGAGAGGCCCTCTCTTAAACAGGCTCCAAGTGCCATTCTGGTCTGAAGAAATGAGGAGAAAACCTACTTGCTTGCTGTGCTATGAACACAAAGAGCCATCGTTCACTCCCCACGGGAGGTCCTTCCTCCCTTCTCAGCTGTTCATTTGTCATGTGTTTTCTGCATATCGATGGATGTGTCAGGTACTAGAGTGGGTACCATGTAACGGGTAGCTATTGTTCATCGTGCAGCTAGTAAGTGCCAGGAACTGTGTGAGCTATTTACACACATCAGGATTTCATTAATTCCTTAGGAAAATTGTGAGGTAGGTGCTTTTAATAGCTTCCTTAAATCGATAAATAAAATTCTCATTTTATACTTGAGGAAAATCAAACTCAGAGAGAAGCTAAGCAAAGGGCCAAAATATGAGGTTCAAACTCAGGTTATAATGAATTCTAGGCTCTATGGCCTTACCCCTCATGCAATATTATCTAACAAACTGCAGTCTCCCTTACCCCCTCTCCCTTGTGAGCTAGGCCTGACCTCGGCTCAAAGGACTGAGATCTTGAGTGGTTGCCTCACCTGGTTCAGGGGCCCAGAGGGAGGGAGCAGAGTCTCCCCCGGCCCCTATCTCAGGCCTGCTCTCACAGAGAGACCCCAGCGCCTGCTGCAGCACCGAGTAGAGGCTGGCCAACTGGGCCTGTGCATGGCTCCCAGGCTGCTGCTCAGCGGCCAGGGCCTCTAGCCGGCTCTCCGTGCTGCGCAGCTGCAGTTGGAGCTGGGCTGCCTTGGTTTCCTGGGCCCAAAGGGAAGCTCGCAGTTGCTTCTCTGTGACCCGAGAGGCCTCCAGCTCCTCCAGCAGCTGTGCTTCCTGGGTCAGAAAGTCGGCCTCCTTCTCCTTCACCTCCTGCCTCAGTAGTTCCACCTGCCGGGGAGGAAGCACACTTAGCCTGAGCATAGAGTGGGTACCCTGTCCTGCTGCTCCCAGGCCTGACCACACTCAATCCCTGTACCAACTCTTAGCTGGATGGGGAGGATTACTACCATTTCCTGAATGCTTCGTGTGCTACTAACACTAACCTTGCCTTACATGAAGGAACTGATACCCTCACAACCAGGAAGCTGTGGTACTGACAGTCAAACTTGGGACTAAGAGCCCGACCTGGGTCCTTGTGAAATCCCTCCCTCTAGACCAGCACTGCCAAAAGGACTTGGGAGGAGCTCAGATTTTCACCTTCCCTTCAACTGCCATCTCCCTCCAAGCAAGGCCCTGGGAGGGGATGCTCTCCCCAGGACAGGCTGGAGATGCCTGCCTGTCACCATGCTGATCCTAGCAGGATCTACACTCGACCTGGGTTCTCATCGCTGTGATCTACTGTCTGCTGCTTACTCCCCGATCCGTCCCTTCCAAGTTTCCTCTTCTCTGTACCCAATGTTGGGATCTGGTTGTCAGCAGATTGGGTCATCTGGCTGTGGCCTACCTGCTCTGGACTGTTACTAGGTGGCTCAAGTACCCTTACTGCCAGCAGCTCAAACATACTAGGAAGTGGCTGGGCTGGAATGAGGCTTTTGTGGCTTCTGCTGCTTTGGGTATTAATTCTGGGCTCTCAGGTTCTACACAAAGGATGTTCTCAAGTCCCCATCCTGCCTCGCCTGGCTTTTGCCTTCATGCCATAGATGTTGGGGTACCAGCCTATCTTCATTAGGGAAAAGAGAAGAGACTGACTGAGCAATCCCCTCACACACACACACACGGCTCAGGGGCAGGGCAGGAGCACCTGGGCACTGAGCTCCCTCTGTCCTTCCTGAGCCTCCTGTACGTCCTCACGCAGGGAGCTCAGCTCTTCTTGCTGAGCAGAGTCAGCCTCTTCCAAGACGAGGAGTCTCTGTTCCTTTTCCGCCAGCGACAGAGTCAGGCTGAGAAGAGAGGAGGTCAAAGGGCCAGGCCATTCTCTGAGAGCATGAAAATCTACCTGCTCATCTAACTGTTCTAAACACAGCTTTAAGAATTAAAATAGAAGTAGCAATGACAATGACTACCTAGGGTTCCATCTCACCCCTTTGCCTAGATGGCTCCATTTCATTTTTCAATGTTCAGCTTAAATGCAACCTCCTATGAAAGCATTAGCTAACAATTAATAAAGTCGGTCTCCTTTCTCTCATTTCTGTTTCACAACCTTACTTTTTTCCTTCTCACGTGTCAAACTCTGTAATAATTTGTTCAAAGAAATATTTAGTCTTCCCTGCAACACTACAAATTCCAATGAGACACGCTGTCTTGTTCACCACTGTATTACCAACTCTGGCATAGTGCCTGGTGCATAATGGGTACTTTCAATAGACACGTTAAATGAATCTGGGAGAAGCTTTGAGAATAGGGACCACATCTTTATCACATGGTTATATCTGTGTATCAGAGTAGCAGACTGAAAGACTGGATGATCTAAACAAAGACTTGTCAGTGTCACAGTGACCACTGCGGCCACAAAGGCAAATCTACCTCCACGCAGTGTAACTCACCTGGCCTTCTCTCTCTCTAGCTCCTCTTGAATCTGGTTATACTCCTGGGCCTCTCTCAGCTTCTCCTGAATTGCCTGTTTCAACATTCTCTGGGAGTCATCTTGGGTAAGCAGCTGAGACTTCAAGTCCTCCACCTGGAAAATTAAGTGGGTAAAAGGTGAGATGGCAGGCAAGACGGCAAATAGGAAGATGTTTTCAGGCTAAGATCTTTGGATCGTCCACAAGTTCCACAGTCAGCAGCCCAGTTTCAGGGCTCTATCTTCTACACACCGTTCTTAAGCAACACATCCGTTTCTCCTGGTTATCTGTCACCCTGGCCTCATATGCACTACGTAACAGCAGGCATGAATAAAAACAAAACAAACAAAAAAAACAGAAAGAACAATACCAAAAGGCAAAGCAATGGGCAAGTGAAGAGTGAGAATGTAGCTTTTTAAAATGAAAAAAACAGAACATTATCTGAGAATGGGAAAGCAACCTGGTTCCTGAAAACATTGGACTTAGATGGAGGTTGGGAAGAACAATCGAAACTGGGATTGCTGGAGGCAAATCCAAGCCCGGTGATCACTGCAGAGGAGAGACTGCTAGGCCGGGGCCCTGAGGGGCATGTGCTTGGCTCCGAGCATCCTTCAACTGTCCCCTCAGCACCAGGCTGCCCCGACCCTCCCGAGCTCAGGCAGCAGGGCCAGGACTCCCTCATCCTGTGGAAGCCAGGAGAAAGGCAGGCACCTGCTGCTGCAGGTCTGTCTTATCCTGCAGCAGAGCACTGCCCTCTTGGCGGAGAGCAGCGAGGTCTTCCCTGTGCTGCCGGGCAGCCTCCTTCAGCTCCTGCTGAGTCTCCCGCAACTGGGTCTGCAGCAGCTCAGTGGTCTCCTGCAGAGGGAGAAAGTACCAGTGAACATAGGAAAGCTCCCACGGAGGAGCTTTCAACAATCTAGGGGATATAAATGCGGTTCTTTTTGGTGGGATTAGCAGAGGCTGAGGTGGAGCCAGTCGGCATGCTATTCCACCTCACATCCTTGCCTCCTGCTCCCTCTCTTCCATTAAAACATGCATGGGCTCACCCGGGTTCTCTAGTCATGGCGCATGAGGTGGCAACAGTCTGTTACCCAGGCCATCACACAGCCTGCTGACCACTGGATACCAGGACACCCTACAAACACACAAGCTATGCTCCACTGGTGTGCCATCCAATAGCTCCTACTGTCCTACAACAAACCCAGGCGCCCAGTGTGACTAACAGTGGGTTCCCACCTACCCCGTTCCTCCCACTGAGCCCCTGGCACTGCAGCCACACTGCCTCCTTTCTGCATTTCAAACTCCTCAGACACTTTCTGTCGGTACTAGGCCTTCTGCTGCCTCAGGATGCAAGGTTCTTCATTGAGGGCCCGGTGCAGTGGCCTAGCGTCTAAAGTCCTTGCCTTGCAAGCACCAGGATTCCATATGGGCACCGGTTCTAAATCTGGAGGCCGCATTTCCCATCCAACTCCCTGCTTCCGGCCTGGGAAAGCAGTCAAGGACAGCCCAACTCCTTGGGACCCTGCACCCACACGGGAGACCCAGGAGAGGCTCTGTGCTCCTGACTTCAGATTGGCTCAGCTCCGGCTGTCGTGGCCACTTGGGGAGTAAATCAACGGACAGAGGATCTTCCTTTCTGTCTCTCCTCCTCTCTGTATATTTGCCTTTCCAATACAAATGAAATAAATCTTAAAAAAATAATTTTTCTAAAAAAGATTTTATTAAGATATGCAGAGTTGTGAAGTTATCATCACAGTCTGCTTTATAAGCACTTTCATCACCCCAAGAAAAACTATATCTCAGGGGAATCAGACAGGATGCCACGTGGGACCTCACATCCCACATCAGTGCCTAGGTTCAAGTTCACTTATTTGTTTTTTGAAGGATTTATTTTTATTGGAAAGGCAGGTTTACAGAAAGAAGGACAGACAGAGAAGGATCTTCCTTCTGCTGGTTCACTCCCCAAGTGGCCAAAATGGCTGGAGCTGAGTCAGTCTAAACCCAGGAGCCAGGAACTTCTGGGTCTCCCATGCGGGTACAGGGTCCCAAGGCTTTGGGCCATCCTCCACTGCTTTCCCAGGCCATAAGCAGGGAGCTAGATGGGAAGTAGAGTAGTCGGGACATTAACTAGTGCCCATATGGAATCCCAGCGCATGCAAGGCAAGGACTTTAGCCACTAGGCTACTGCGATAGGCCCTCTAGCTTCCTTCTAATACACACAGCAGGTGTTGGACCAAGTCCTTAGTCCCTGCCACCCAAGTGGGAGACTTGAATTGAGTTCCCAGCTTCTGGTTTCAACCATGCCTTTTCTGGACAATTCATATCGAACGAGTCATGATATGTGGCCTCTGTGAATTATTCCCTTTGCTTAACAAGATTTTTTTCAGGGCTCAGCTATCTTACTGGCTTTTTTTTTTTTCAATCTTTAGATCTCTGTTTACATATCACTTTCTAGGTAGTCCCATGCCCAAGGCAGCCTTCTCTGACTCACTCTCAATCATATCCTATCTATTTATTTCCTTTACAGCCCCGCACCACAATCTAGAATTTTCTCATGTAGTCTGGGTCTGCTTATTTTTCATCTGTCTCTGCCACTTGAGAGTGGGAGTTGTATCTGTCACGATGAGTGTCAGGGCACACCTGACATGGGTGCTGTCACACGTCAGCATGTTGCACAGGACAAGGTGCGTAAGAAGTGTCAAGGAATGATGCCCATGCCACATGAGGGAATGCCTGCCCCTGCCCATACCTGCTCCCTTAACTTCTGGGCTTTCATGTCCTGTCTCAGCCGTTCCAGTTGCTGACTGGCATCCGCCAGTTCCTTCTGGGTCCGCAGCAGAGTCTCCAGGAGGGACACTCTCTCCTTCTCCGTTTCCAGTTGCATCTGTGGAGGGGCAGGATGGGCAAGGGCTTGCTGGCTCAGAGTTATCATGCTCTCTGATGAGGCCACAGGTGTGTCCTGGCCGTGCGGGGACAGGCAGAGGAAGGTCTGGGTCCATTGCATCAGAACCAGGAAGTTCAAATCTAGCTGCTGGTTTGCTCCCTGGCAGGATGTGGTGCAGTCAGCCCTCCCTCAGGAAGTAGGACGTGCTGTGAGCCCTGTACTGATGTTGTGGGTTACCCTGCTCACCGCAAGCAAGAGGAGCAGCCACACTCTCTGCCGGAAGCCCGTCTGTAGCACCCCGAAAAGGAGGGGACCAAAACACCACTCCTCCTAGCTGCCCACCTGGCACAGGGCACTCTCGGCCTGGGTCCGCTCCTCCTCCCTCTGTGCCCGGATGGCGTCAGTTTCTGCCTGCAGCTCCTGCATTCTTGTGTCCAGCTCCTGCTTTTCCCTCTCAAGGCTCTCCAGGGCCTTGGCCAGCTCCTGCTGGTGCCGGGAGCGCTCCTTCTCCTGGCCGGAGAAGGCAACCCCATTAGAACCGCATGCACGAGGAGAGGAAGTAGGAAGGGGGGGGGGCTCCCTGACTCCTCATGAGCGTGTGCCTTGGTACCTCTCTAAGCCTGGAACCCCTTCCTGGTCTAGCTCAAATTAATGAGTCAAATGGGATTTATAAACAATCAAATTATTAGTATATGTGAAAGTATCTTCTGTCCCTCATATAAACCACAAATACCTGTTCTCTGCAAAGAGACCACAGCATACCTGACCGCTCTAACAATGAGCTGGGGAGGTGACTGGGCTCAGCCCACTCTCCCATGCTCAGAGTTGCTGACATGAGACTTGGCCCAGCATGAAGTGGTCCCTACTTTGTATACAAGATTAGGACAGGGAGTCTGGTTCTCCCAGAGGTCCAGCATTGGCCAAAGCCCTCCTGTCTCCTAGCACACTCTTTTTGGTTCCCGGGACATGGTGGTAGGCACGGAAGTCAGACTGCCCAGGTGGCAGTCAGTTGATTTCTAACTATCATGGTCCTCAGTCTCCTCATTAATTAAAAAAAAAGGGGGAGGATGGAATACTCTGAGAATTGAGCTAAATCACTTTATTTCTTTTAAGGACTTATTTATTTTGAAAGGTACCCTGTAGTGAGATAAATTTTTTTAAATGATTTACCCATTTTTGTATGAAATTAAATTTTTACAGAGAGAGCAAGAGAGAGATCTTCCAACCACAGGTTCAGTCCTCAAATGGCTGCAACAGCCAGAACTGAGCTGATCTGAAACCAGGAATCTACAGCCTCCCCAAGGTCTCCCACACAGGCGCAAGAATCTGGGCCATCCTCTGCTCTTTTCAGCCAACATAATCATGACTAAAGGAAATTATACTTCAAGCAGAAGGAAAATAAATCCAAATAAAATCTAATATGCAACAAGGATCTGTGAATAAGCAAATCTGTCACAGTGTCTAAACAAATATTGACTGTATAAAACAATTTAAAATGATTCACTTGCGGTGCTAAATTAATGAGAATTGAATATATTAAAATGACACTGTCAGGGAATGTGAATACAGATGGGGCACGGTTGTTATGTAGCTGGTAAAGCTGCCATCTGCAACACTGGCATCCTATGTGGGTGCTAGCTTGAGTCCCAACTACTCCAGTTCAGATGCAACTCCCTACTAACGGCTTGGGAAAAGTAGCAGAGGGTGATCCAGCTGTTTGGGACCTTCCACCCACATGGGTGATGTGGCAGAGGCTCGCTCTTAGCTCCTGGCTTCAGCCTGGCCCAGCATTCACTGCTGCAACTATCTGGGAAACAACCTCTCTTTCTCTCTCTCTCTCTCTAGCTCTTTCAAACAAATGAATAAATACATCTTTAAAACAAAACAAAAGACAAAAGAAAAACAGTTCTGAATTGGGCAAGAATGCATCAGAAGTATTCCTCAGTCCCATTTATATCCTGGGATCAGTTTATTAATCCTCAATCTGAGAGTTCCCTCTTCATTCTCTGTATACACCAAAAGAACAATAACCACACAGAGTTCATTTTTGCCAAGAACTTAGTAATAGTTGTATATTAACAAGTTTAAGATTTTAATTAGATTTTAACTAAGGTGACCAAATTCCACTCTTCTGAGCAGCAGTTTCTGGACCAACAGTCAGCAGGCCGTGTCCTCACAAAGGAGAGACTACCGGCCTCTCCCATTCCCCAGCCACACCCACCACCTACCCAGCTCTCCTGAAGCCGGCTCACTTCTTCCTCGTGGGCCACCTTCTGCTGTTCCAGGGCAGCCTGCCCTTCTTGCTCAACCTGGACCAGCCTTCTGGCTGCTGCATGCTGCTCCTGCTCTGCCCGGTTCCGTGCAGTGTCCAGTTCCACCTTCAGACACCTCACTTCTCCTAAGATGTCCGGGGCAGGATCAGCTCTGGGAGCACCTGCCTCTCTCCTTTGATCTAATCACCTTCTCCCTCTCCCAGAGTCTCCATGTGCATCTCAGAGGCCCTGTCCCTGGCTTGAGAAGAACCTCCAGGAGCCTCCCATGGCCTTGCCAGCTCTCACCACCCCACAGGATGTGACACGCGCTATCCCAGAAAGCATCTCACCTTGGATTACTTCCTTGGCTTGAGTGATAGCCTCAATCTGGACTTCCAGCTGCCCCTTGGTCACTTCCATCATAGAATTTTGCTGCTGGGCCTCAAACAAAGTGCTCTCTAGTTGCTCCTTGGCAGAGCTGTGAGATCAGGAATCAGGAGGAATTTTTACACACTAAGCCCCCACCCTCTCCCAGTGATTACCTGGTGAGGGGAGCCATTATAAATCCAGAACTCATTCAGACTTGGGACATAGAGCCTCGCATGGCCACCTCTTGCCGTGACAGTTCTCTGTGTTTGGCCCTACCTGAGGCCCAGCAGTTGCTCAGTGAGGTCCTGGCGATCCCGCTCCACAGCCTGCAGCCGCACCTCTAGAGACGCTCTTTCTCGTACGAGGGCCTCCTTCTCCTGCACCATCCTGGCAAGCACTTCTTCCTGTCGCTTTGCATCCTGCTGCAGCAGCTCCAACTGAGCCGCAGCTGCCTCCTGCTGGTGCTGTACCTGAGGGGAAGAAGTGGGTGACCTCCAGGACAGAGCAAAGGCAGGGGTAGGGCCACAGGCTCAGGGACTCCGGGCCCATGTCTGTGAGCCCTGAGCATTGTGCACTCAGACCGAGAGGCATGTGGCCCTTTCTCTGACAAACCCATAGAGTGCCCAGTGCAGGAAGGATGCTGCCTGTGAAAAAGACCCTGAGCCAGAGACAGCAAGAGTCTTAGCTTTGGGAAGTCAAGACACACAGATATTAACAGGAAGAAAGTGCTTGGTGTCCTCAGAAAAGGAGACTGTATAATTACCAAGGTGGTAAGAGCTCTGGGAGAGAAAAAAGAGGACTTTACAACCAGGTCCATCACTGGCTCTGAAACATTTCCTGAGCCCCCCTGCCACTGTGACCAGGCTGCAGGAATGAAAACAAGTGAAATGAGATAGATAACAGTAGTGTGAAGAATGTGATGATCAAAATAAATAGGCAGTCTTCTGAGAGCTTATACCAGAAGCACATAGGTTATGAAACAGTGGGGAATCCATGAAGGAATCCTATAGGAATTCTCTTACGTTATGGCACAGTGAATTAACCTGCTGCTACTTAGGATACCTACAACCTGTACTGGAGTACCTGCATGTAGCCCTGGCTCCTCTTGTGTTCCACCTCTCTGCCATGTGCCAAGGAAGCAGCAGACGCCCAAGCATGTGGGTTTGTCACCCACACGGGAGACCAGGATGGAGGTCCTGGTTCCTGGATGGGCCTCGCCTGGCCTGGCTCTGGCTGTTGTAGGCATTTGGGGAGCAAACCAGTGGATCAAACTTTCCTCTGTCTCTCCCTCTCTCTGTCACTCATTCAAAACAGTGGAAGACACATCGCAAACTGATAACACGGTTCTTTTGTTGACAGTGAGATGTGCTTTCTGAATCATGACTCTACCATTTGCATTTTATTTTTACAATGAGTATGTCTTATGGCTTAATGTGATGTCAATTTTTCTTTTTTTCTTAAAACTTATTTTCTTACTGAAAAATCAGATATACAGAGAGAAGAGACAGAAAGATTTTCCATCCATTGATTCACTCCCCAAGTGGCTGAAATGGCTGGAGCTGAGCTGATCTGAGGAGCAAGGAGGAGCTTCCTCCAGGTCTCCCACACAGGTTCAGGGTTCCAAGGCTTTGGGCTATCCTCGACTGCATTGCCAGACCACAGGCAGGGAGATGGATGGGAAGTGGGGCTGCCAGGATTAGAAACAGCACCCATATGGGATCCCGGTGCATTCAAGGCGAGGACTTTAGTTGCTAAGCTACCGCATCTGGCCTGATGATGTCCGTTTTGTCTTCTCACCTCATTTAGCTTCTCTTGCATTTCTCCCCTCTCTTCTTGGACACTCCTGAGGTTTGCTTGCAGCTCAGCCCCGGCCTCCTCTGCCTTCTGCAGCTGAGCCTCCAGATGAGTTTTTTCTTCCCACAGGGCTTCCCTGCTCTGCTCGGCCTCCACCAGGTCTGCCTGCAAGTTGCTCCGTGCCTGCTCTGCCGCCTCCATTCTGCTGCACACAGACTGCTTCTCCTGCTCTAACTGCTCAACAAAAATCCAGAGAGGGGAGTGGGGCAGCAAAAACAAGTGGTTAGGTTCAGGCAGAAAGTGAAACCCAAGAGAGGTATGAATCTGTTTGACAAAGATGACCACGGGTATACTTTTAATTGAGTAGGGGACGTCCATTCATTTGATTTAAAGTCTGTATTTCAGGGACTAACTGGACGGGAGGCTGGGAATGATGATGAAAATGCCAAAATTGCTTCTCAAGAATTCAGAATCCTGGAATATAGAACATTTCTAGAGCTCAGGTGAAGCCAGAGATTTCTTTGATAAAATTACAAGTTAAATTTGTAACCTTGGGAGAAGATTCACTGGGACTTGGCTCCTCACCAGACCCTTGGCTGTTGATCGTTCTGAACTTACTAACAGGATTAAGAACCTGGACTTTTCTCCCCAGAACCTGGGATCCTTCCCAGCTCAGGTGATTCACCGTTCAAGCGCAACGGTGGGGCTGCTGCATTTCTAGTGGCTAAGTCTGATCTGGATTGTCTGAGCAGCCTAAGTCCCCTAGAAGCTGATCTATCCATTAAAGGCCCTACTCTATTGTGAGAATCAGCTGCTTCTGTCACTGGCTGGTCCGCAGACAGGACCCAGCCCTGGCCTGGAGACCAAAGACATAGCTGCTCACCTGGAGAAGCTGCTGGTTCAGCCCAACTTTGTCTAAGGCCAAAGCCTCATTTAAGGTGCTCAGTTTGACAGCTGTAGCCCGAAGGTCCGCTGCCTCTGCCTTCAGGCTGTTCTCGGAACTTGACAGCTCTGCAATGGACTGTTCTGCCTGAAAATCAAAGAAGATGGGAGCGTTTCCCATTTCCGATTCTCCCACCACAGAAAATGGTCCAGTGTCAACACCTGCTTGTACCTTCTGGGCAGAAATCACTGCCTCTCTTGCATACTCAGCATGCTGCTCTCTCGCGAGGAAGGCAGGAGCCCACAGACAAGGCCCAGATGGAAGGTTCACAAACAAGTATAAACGTAATGACACCACAGAACATGGAAACAAAAAGTGCTGTGGGAACTCAAACACAGTATGAATTCTGTTCGGGAGAGTTAAGGTAGAGGGGTTGACACGTGGAGTAGTCTCAGGCAAGGTACGGTACGCAGTTGGCGGAGGAGAGAAGCCAACCAGGTACAGAGCAAACTGCTCACAGAGTCACAAAAGAACACGGCACCTCTGACGACACAGTTGATGATATGTGGCCAGGGCAAAGGGCACAGAGTGAGGATGGGCTTGGGGGTGGAACAGGAGGCCAGAAACACAGTATGGTACAGTTGGCAAGGGGTTTTGAATATGGCATTACAGAGCAGCAAAGCAAATAAATGTTTTTAAGAGACTGACATACCCAGACAGATACTTTAACTTTTTATAATTCCAACACAGAGGTTGTGTTGGGAGTGAGGGAACCCAGCGGCAGATGGTAATTGAGCAAAGAAAAAGGAACCAGTCACAACGTGAAGAGCAGGGGTTGAGGTGGGGACACAACTCTGTAAACTGCCCACCCACAACTGAAGAGGAGGCCGACGACGCACCCTGGACAACGCTGCGGTCACTTCCGCTTGCTCTTGCCTCAGTAACTCCCCCTCTAGACGGCTCGACTCCAGGGCTTCCCGAAGCGTGATCACTTCACTGAGCGACTGTGACTGTTTGGCTTCCAGGACAGCCAGCATCTCCTGGCTAAGATGAGAGGAGAAGGGGCATCTAGTAGATGTCTCGGGGAGTGGCCACACGCCGAAAGGTAACAGAAGTCTAATTACCTTTACCGTGCAACAGAATAAGAAAGGTTTCTAAGAACAGACTGGAAAAGATGGTTGGGCCTGGAGCTGTGGCACAGTGAGTTAAGCTGCTTTCTGCAGTGCTGGCCTCCTATATGGATACCAGTTTATGTCCCAGCAGCTCCACTTCTGATCTAGCTCCCTGTTAATGGCTTGGGAAAGCAGTGGAAGATGATTCAAATGATTGGCCCCCCTGCACTCATGTAGGAGACCTGGATGAAAACTCCTGGCTCCTGGCTTTGGCCTGACCTGGCCCTGGCATTGTGGCCATTTAGAAAGTAATCAGTGGACAGAAGATATATCTCTCCTACTTTCTGTAACTTTTACTTTCAGATAAATCTTTTTTTTATTGCTAAACTATATCACATGAATAAACCACAGTGCAGAACAGTATAGTTTGATATAAACATTTACATATAATAGTATATACTATATAAATGTACATATATTCTATTATACACACACTATGTGTATATATATATATATATATGTGTGTGTGTCTTCCTCAAATTAAAGCTCCTTATGCAAGAAAACAAGTAAAAAAAATAATTTATGCTTATATCTGCATGAGGTGCCCACATTCTCCACCAAAAAAATAAATGTATATGACAGGCAGGAACACAGACAGAGCTCCCATCTGTTGGTTCACTCCCCAAATACCCAAAACAGCTGGTGTTGGGGCTGGGCTAGACCAGACAAAACCAGGAGCCAGGAACACAACCCAGGTCTCTTAGAAAGGTGGCAGAAACCCAAGCACTTGAGCCACACCACTGCCTCACAGGACCTACACTGGCAGGAAGCTACAGTCGGAAGCCAGAGTTGGGCACTAAACCAGGGACTCTGAGGCGGGATACAGCCATCAGATGTCCATCCTGATGTTGACTTTGAAGTCATATAGACATATTACCAGGTCAGATAAATTTAAAAACATGCGACTGTCTGCCCCTCCCCTTGGTTCAAGGGAGATCATTCCAAGCATGAGCCATGCCCTGCACAGCAGCCCTTCAGGCTCCCAGGATCACACCTCCTACGTGCAGGAAGGCCTGGAGTCCACACGCAAGGCCGTAGGGAAAACGTCAACCATGAAGCAGATACATCTTGGAGTGGGTATTTGGCCCAGTGGTAAAGAGGTCACCTAAGACATTACACCCTACACTGCAATTGTTTGGGTTTGAGCTGCAGCTCTACTTCTAACTGCAGCTTCCCGCAAATGCAACTCTGGGAAGCAAATACTTGGGTCCCTGACGGCCATGTGGGAGACCTGGATTGAGTTCTGGGTCCCCAACCCCAGCCATTGCAGGCATTTGTGGAGTGAACCAGCAGACAGAAGAACTTCCTTATTCTCTTTCTCATCATCTCCCTTCCTTCCTCTCTATTTCTCTCACCCTCTGCCTTCCAAATAAAAAAAATTTTTAAATTGTCTTCAAAACTGCACTTACATAAAAGATACATTCCTGCTAACAAAGACCTCCAATATGGCATGTTCCACACACTGGCATTTTCCAAATGCTGTCCTGATTGCCTACTGACCCTTCAGAGTAAATATTATCTCCATTTTACAAGTAATCTGTCCAGTGGAAAACCCACATTGAAATCAGGTTTTTTGCCTGGCTCTCAAGGTCCTTCCTGGAACATCATATGAGGGAGTGCACGGATTCGCTGGGTTCCTTTATCCTGGGTTTCTCTCCCAGAAATCTTACCCTTGATCTAGCCCAGTCTATTCAGATCAGGCCTTACACCTTCCTTCTTCCTCCTCATTGCTACTGAGTTCTTTTCGTTCTTGTCTCCCTCTCTACCAATCAAAACAGGCAGGAATCTGCTCAGAATCCACCCTTGTCCACCAGGCCTCCCCTGGTTCCCAGGGATTGACTGCTACTCCCACGCTCCCTAAGGATCTAGTTCAAGACTCTTTAGCCATCCTTCACCCAGCCTCACGTGACAGTTCCCGGGGTACCTGTCTTCTCCAATCACTGCAAGCTCCTTAAGACCACGGCCTGTGTCTTACTCATTTCCATATTCCCACCCCACCTTATCCCTACGAATGCTCAGCAAAGTCAGGATCAACTTTCTGCAAAGAAAAACAGTGAGCAAATCTGAACCACCTGCTTGTCAGGCTTTCCTAGGTGCCCCCCTTTCTAAGGGAGCAGGTGGAAGGGGAAGTGGGAAGGAAAGGAAGCCAGGCTCTCCGTGGAGGAACCTGCTCACACTCACAGGCGCTCCCTCTCCCTGGTGGCCAGGTGGAGCGCCTCCTGCTGCTCCTCCCGCTCGCCCTGGGCCGAGTCCCCTTGCAGCTGGAGTTCCGTGTTGACCCTGCGCAGGCGCCATGCCTCCTGCTCCAGCACCTCCAGCTGCTGCTGCAGCTCTTCCCGGGCCGTCTGCAGAAGCTCTCTCTCCCTGCAAGGAGGGGACCAGAGATGGGTAAAAGACATTTGGGGCCTAACATTCTTGCTGAAAGTGGACATCAGGGAGTCAAGGGAAAAGGGGGTACCTGTTTCCTCTTACACTCCCATCTTTCCTTTTGAGTGGTACACTTTCACCACCAAGAACCCAAAACCCAGCAAGAGGCAGAACACAAAGCAAAGCAGCCCTGAGCAGCACCGGGGTCATAACAGGAGGGGCCAATTGAAAACAAGATGGGAATGGGTAAATGGCTGCATGAGCATGGATGCCTGGACAGGCAGCAGAGGATGGAAAGCCTTGGCCTGCTTACTTGCTGAGAGAGTCCACCTCTTCCTGGAGGCCTACAGTCTGTCCTTCCAGACCGTCCCGCTCCCCTGTGAGCTTCTGCAGCCGCTGTCTCAGGGCTCTCCCCTCCTCCTCCCACTGATCATGCTGGTGCTGCAAGACACTCATGGCGTCCTGACAGCCAGACAGCTGCTGTCGTAGGTCCTGTGGAAGGACAGCAACAGAGACCAGATGGTGAATGAGCGGGCAAGGACAAAAGGAGAGATGCAGAAATGTGAATAAGGGGATCAGGGGCTGCTACAACAAGGGTAATGCCAGCCCAGAAAATGGGGGATTCAAGGGTATCAGGTTTCTGCAGCTCCAGGTTTAAAAGTTGAACATCTTGAAATGCATCCAGGCATGTGGTAACAATAAGTGTGCCTAGGACCCACCATGGTCAGGGAACATTTCCTCTCAAGCCTCTGGCTGTGAGTCTGTCTACAGCATTATACAAAGACTGCATGCCACATGAAGTGTGTCACCAGCATGTGCCTGTTGTCCCCTAATACACCTGGACAGACACAGACTCTGACACCTGGGGAAAGTGACAAAAAATCATTTCATGTTTGGTCCACAAAATCAAGTGAGCCATCTGGGCAGGGGAGGCTGCAGCGCACATCAGTTTAGATACCCACATTGGGGGGCTGAAGAGGACCCCTGGGGTTCTCACCTGCACAGCCTGGCGTCTTTGAGTCAGCACTGACCGCACAAATGTGAGAGCCTTGTCTGGATCCTGTGAGTCAAACTGGGAGAAGGCAGTAGAGTCCAATGCCAAGGAACTCTCATGACCAGAACCTTGAGCCACACCGTCCCCTTCTTCTACCACGGCCTGAAATCCAATGCAGTGGGGTTATTACCTACTGGCCAAAGCCTGGAGTCCACAGAGAGGACTACACTCCAGCCTGGATGAACCTGATGCTTTCTGCTTATCTGAGAGATTTAATAATAATAACAACAATAATAATAATAATAATAATAATAACACTGGTTCCTTCACCCCGCCATCTCTGGTGACCCCAAACTAAGACTAGCAAGAAGACTGATACACTTCCTGGGGCAACAAGAAATGAAAGTAGCAGTGGCTACTGAGGTAGTGAAGACCAGAATCCTTCTCTGTGGACTGAGAAGGACAGCTGGCAACAGGAAAGAGAACCCATCCACTAAGCCAGCGCTGGACCATGAAAGCTGAACTACTCCCTACGGTTTCATCTTCCAATACACTCATAGAACTCATCCACAGAAGACCATAACACCTCAGAGGCCGGACATCTAGGCATGGTGGAGGGACATGGAGTCCTGGGGAAAAGGGTGGGGACACAGCCTGGTTACCACTGCCAGGAGGCTTACCAGTACCTGGGTTATATCCTTGATCACCTGCTGTAAGGACAACTTCTCTTCTTGGGCATTCCTACTAAGAGATGCCTCGTGTTCCACTAATTGTGCATGGTTTGTTTCCTGAACAGGGAACAGAACACAGCCTAAGGGCCAAAGTCCCAAAAGAAAACTTAGAATTCCAGACCACAAACCATCCCAGAATCTTTCTCTGCCTATTCTGCTTCCCTACTTTTCTCTGACTACATAGAGGTGAATGCTAATGGATGTCCAGGGACCATGTGATGTGTTTGTAAAAGTGCAGAAAAAATGATGACGAGCCCCAAATCCGGGTTCTCGCTAAGGTGATAACCTTAGGCAAATGATTTTTGAAACTTTCTTCTCTTTGAAATAGGTAAAGTGGCAGGTGTTTGAGCACAGCAGAAATGACTCGACTAGGGATGCCTACATTGGTATCAGAGTGTCAGGAGTCAAGTCTTAGTTCTATAGCCAGGTCCACTTTCTTGCCTATAAGTACTCTGGAAGGTGGCAGGTAGTGGCTTCGGTACCTGAGTCATTGCCACCTACATGAGAGACCCAGATGGAGTCCATGGCTCCTGACTTATCCCAAAATGCTAATAGTTGGGACCAGCATTGTGGGCGGTTGGTTAAGCCACTGCCTACAATGCTGGCATCCCATATGGGTGCTGGTTTAAGTCCCAACGGTTCCACCTCCAATCCAGCTCAATGCTTCTGTGTTTGAGAAAGCAGCAGATGATGACCCAAGTGCTTGGACATCTATATCCATATAGAAGACCCAGATGAAGCTCCTGACTTCTGTCTTGGCCTGGCTCAGCTCCGGTAGTGGCAGCCATCTGGAGAGTGAACCAGCAAACTAAAGGTCTCTATTTTCAAATAAATAAAGCAAGCAGATTTGCAGAGAAGGAGAGACTGAAATCTATTGCTGCTTCACTCCCAACACAGCCACAAGCAGAGCTGATTCAAAGCCAGAAACCAGAGCTTCTTCCAGGTCTCACACATGGGTGCAGAGGCACGAGGGCTTAAGCTGTCTTCTGTTGCTTTTCTAAGCCACAAGCAGGGAACTGCATTGAAAATAGAGCAGTGGGGACTAGAACCAGTGTTCATAAGGAATGCTGTTGCCGCAAGACTGAGGATTAGCCTGTTGAGCAATTGTGCTGGCCCCTCAAATAAATAAATATTTTTTCTAAAGATTCATATATATTTTTTAAATTGGAAAGTCAGATTTACAGAGAGAAGCAGAGATAGAGAGAAATATCTTTTGTCTGCTAATTTATTCCCCAAGTGGCCACAATAGCCAGAGCTGAGCCAATCCAAAGCCAGGAGTCAGGAGCCAAGAGCTTCTTCCAGGTCTCCCACATGGGTGCGGGGTCCCAAGGCTCTGGGCCATCCTCGACTGCTTTCCTAGGCCACAGCAGGGAACTGGATGGAAAGTAGAGCAGTCGGGATATGAACAGGTGCCCATATGGGATCCAAGGTAAAGACTTAACCACTAGGCTATTGCAATGGGCCCGCAAATAAGTTTTTAAAGAAGAAAAGCCACAGGCCTGGCACCAAGCCTACTAGCTAAAGTCCTTGTCTTGAATTCGCCGGGATCCCATATTGGGCACCAGTTCTAATCCTGGCAGCCCCGCTTCCATTCCAGCTCCCTGTTTGTGGCCTAGGAAAGCAATCAAAGACAGCCCAAAGCCTTGGGATCCTGCACCCACATGGGAGACCCGGAAGAAGCTCCTGGCTCCTGACTTCGGATCAGCATAGCTCCATCCATTAGTCACTTAGGGAGGTTAAATCATTGGACGGAGGATCTTCCTGTCTATCTCTCCTCCTCTCTTTATCTGTGCCTTTCCAATAAAAATAAATAAATCTTAAAAAAAAAAAAAAGGTCTGGTTTCCATTCAATCCCAGCATAGAGGACAGGGTTAGAGGTGTGCCTGGGGACAGGACTTCAGAAGCTGCCTGAAAAAAGAGACCTAAAAATTTAGAAACGAAAGGAAACACAGATTCAAGACTTCTGTTGATGTCCAACTTCAGAGAGTCCTTCTGATAAGGTTATTGGCAGATACTGAGCTGGCAACTAAAAGCTCACTCCACAAGACAGACGCTTCAGCTCGTGAACAGCACCATTCTGAGCCAGAATCTACCATCCTGTAACTTCCAGCCCTCGACTCTGGTTTGAAAGCATTAAGCACGTTGACTCTCTTCTAGGTGGTTCTTCACCTGGATGCTCCCCAAGCCCTTGACTCACAGGACACGTGCTCCCCTCCTCCTTGGGTGTTTCTGAAGACAACTAGCTTCTCTACACATCCACTTCCTGGGGACTTGCTGACTTCCCAATGTGCCTCCTGCTAGACCTACCACCTCTCTGATAAGGACACTGCATACCTACACCACTGTATATTCAGAAGACACTGCACTTTCCCTAGGCATACGGCTGGAGGGTAGACAGTTACTAACGCCTGCTGAATGAGTAAGTTAACTCATCTTCAGACTCAATGACAACTTGTGTTTTAGCTTTAGAGGGTTGTATCATGGAACACTTAAGTGGTCATCTGGTCATAAAGACTCAGAACCCAGACGCCAATACCCAACCCCGCTCCAAAATCAGGAGCATGTACCAGGATCTCCACGGTCTCTCTCAGAGCCTTGACCATCTTCTCATAGTCTTCATTCTCCTTCTGAGACTGTGTCAGCAGAGCAGACAGCTCAGTCACCCTGGAGAGAAGAGTGGTGTGAACACGGTCATCTGGGCAGATGGTGGATGTGGACAGGGCTACTCTGTGGCACACTCCTGCCCCAACATGGACACTCCACTGCAGCCCCCTCAGAACCCCTGGGGTGCCCCGGCCCCTCAGTACTCCCTGCAGTCCACGTAATGCTACTCTCGAACACAGGGGAAAGCCAAAAGTCACTCAGATGCATGCAGGGATTTACCACAGTGCAAGGCTGGAACACGTATTTGGGGGCCCGAGAGCTGAAGGAAAGCCCTGGCCTAGGCCCTTCCAGGCCTCGCTTGATCTTGAAGTCAAGCACTCTGAAACCAATAAGAGCACCGGTATTGTCACATGGGATATTCCCAAGGTCCTTCCGGCTCAAGGTTCTGACTCTGACAGGGAAAAAGGAGGGGCGATTTGAAGGAGACTATGGTCAATCTCTGATGTTAACACCAAAGTCCAGTGACATCCCCAGACATCTCTATCACCTAACACTGCGTCTGGGAGCTTAGTCTCTGCTGTCACATAGGTGGCCAAGTAAACATGTGTTTGAGTGTTTGTTTAGAAAGACAACATTTTGATTCCACATAATCTTTCTTTAAGAGTTTTGTGGCCATTTGTGTAATTGTTGCATCACTCCACATTTATTAAGTATCTTCTAAAATTGCAGATAAGCTACAAAGTACTGAAGACAAAAAGCCTACTGAGGCATGGTCTCTGTTCTTGTGCTTCTCAGTGTCTCTAAAAATAACACCAGGACAACACAGTCCTGTGAAGTGGGCACACCACCAATAGGTGTACACAGAGCTCTCTGCAGGCGTGCCAGCCTGTGATTCAGCAGTACGCTCTGCTTATCAGAGTACCCTTCTTATCATTTTGAAACACCCTATTTCATGACAATAATAAAAAAAAGTCAAAATAGCCTAACCAGAAAACAAAACAAAAAAGGAAACAAAGTAATCAGTGAGATCAAAGCTGTAATAAGCAAGGCCACAGCGGGCAAAGTGATTCTGTAGGCTACTGAGCTCAGAGAGGCCATCACCAAACTACATTTTATAGCAGGGGTGGAGACTATTTTCCTCTATCAAGGCCCATTTAGATATTTATATATTATTTATAACATTCACAAACCATACAACACTCCAACTTAAAAATCAGCCTCTTATATTGAATTTCAAGTCCTGCATATGGTTGCCTTGGCAGATCCAGACCAGTTGATTTAATGGACCTTGGATGGCCAATGGGTCAGACGTCCCCCATCCCTGCCTTAAAAGATAAGACAGAGCAAAAGGAGGAAGGTGTGCCAGGCTAAGGCCAGCATGTGTGAAGGTAGGGAAGAGCTTGGCCACTCTGGCTTTGGTGCAGACAGAAGCCACAGTCATGTGATTGCTGCACGTCCAGACGGCTGCACAGTCTGAGGGACGCGGTCAGCGACAAGCCCCACCCACGGCAGCAGGATTCCCACTGGATTCCCCCAGCACCTCTCCCTGCTCATGGTGGAACTGCTCTTCAGATCCCCTTGCCCATCCTCAGCTCCTTAAAGGGATCCCCCTCCCCTGCATGTACCCCTCCTGGGACTCCAGGCCACCTCACCGATCCTGCAGCTCGGCTTTCTCCAGATCCGCCTGGCTCTTCAGCTGGGTTAGCTCCTGGCTCCTCCGATGGATTTCCTTTTCCAGCTCCTGGGTTTTGGTGAGCAGCAGCAGCTGGGCTGGCTCACTCCTCTCTGCTCTCCCAGATCCACTGGTTTCCACAGACTGTGCTCCAACAGTCAGGCGCAGACAACAGGTCAGCAGGGACCCCGAAAGCCTCACATGCTCAGCCTTAAGCTCCATCAGATCTCTGAGCACAAGAAAGGAAAATGGCAGACTCCAGTGGGGACCAGGGAAGGGAGTGTGGAGATTGGGCGGGTCTGAGCAAAATCATCTGAACCCAGCAATACCAACATTTCTACCCACCCAGCCTCATAGCTAATCACACGGCTCTACAGCAGCACACTGCAGTAAGTCCAGAACTGGCAGGGCAACCTCCTCCTTCCTTATCTCACACTCACCTGTCAGTAGCTGACTTCATCTCCAGGAAGTGGCGTCGGAAGGTCACCACTGCCCGCCATAGCCCAAGCAGGCGACCGTGCTCCCCTTTCAGGTAGCCCTTGAAGAACTGTGTGTTCAGAAATCCAGGAGTTAACTATATTAAGAGAGGACAGAGCACTATCTTTTTCCTACAAAACATTCTAGATTCCTAACTACCAGCTACAGGGAGAAGAAGGTACTTAAGGAGACACACTCTAAGAGGGTGTCTAGAAGCAGGTTCTGCCACAGGGTTTAATGAACTTGGCAGAGGCGGGGAGTGGGTGGGGGGGCAGTGTTGTGATGTAGTACTTGGGGTCCTGCCACCCGGGTAGAGGACCCAGAAGCAGCTCTGGCTCCTGCCTCTGGCCTGGTCCAGCAATGGAGTTTGCAGCCATATGGGAAGTGAACCAGTAAATTGAAGATACCTCTCTCTGACTTTCAAATAAACAAACAAATCTTTAACAAATACAAATAAAACTGGGATTGGGATTCAAGAAGTCAGAGAGCCATAGATGGGACCTGTCCTTCCTCTGTGCTACATTAGAAAGGGATATAAACGGGAACTATTTCCAAAGATTTATGAGGAGGATAAGTAACACAACACGTATAGAAATCACTCAGCACTTAGCAAAATACGAGAAACATTTATTTCTTTTAGCTAGGATCCGAACGTTCCCAGAGCCTGTAGCCACTCTTTCTTCTCTACTCACTGTCCTTAGCGTCTAGATAGACAGACCTCCAGAAAGAAGGGCACCCACAAGCTTTGAGCTCTGCATAAATCCAAATCTAGTCACTTCTGCAGCGTGTCATGCCACCCGCCAGCAGAAACTAGGACAGGCAGGTAATGGTGGAACAAGGATGAAGGCCCAAGTGAGACCAGCCAACAGGTAACAATGATGAGCAATATTTGCAATGATAGCTCAGTTGTGTAGTTTGCCTCCAGCCCCGAGATACATTCCTCAGCTCACAGACCAGGGCGGTGCCAAAGACAGACCTCCTGTCACAGTCCCAGCCCTGCTCTTCCTACCTCCTGTTCCATCTGCCACTGGCTCTCCTTCCTCATGAGCTCCTCTCGGGCCCGGCCCCAGTCCACTGTCAGCTTTTCCACGTCTTCCCGAAGGGCTTTGTTGACCATGTCAGCTTTTTCCATGTGCAGTCGAAGCTGAGTGTTCACCTCAGCTAGATTCTCACACCTGCACTGGGGAGGAGCAAGTGCAAGTGCAAAATAAAGGTCGGGTCCCATCCTTGGATCTCTTGGGAATAAGGTAATAGCCACGGAATTTTCCACTAACAGAAACCGGAGGGTTCAGGCTGAAGTCCACGTCAGCCTCAGGACCGACGGCTTCATTCCATCAGCCTTCTCCACTCACTGGCCCATCACCCCAATGAGACACTTTGGGGTCCATCACCTCTGTTGCTCCTCCTCCAGCCGGATTAGAAGCTGTTCCAGGCTTGGCTCCTCCACACTTTCCCATCTCTGAGGGACTGGTCCCTTTGCCAGACAGAAACAAGCCTTGTTTACCACAAGAAAGAACATCACTCAGGTCAATTCCCTGGCATCCCCGTTCTACAACACCTCACTTCCTTTCTACACTTTCTTGTCTGGGTCAGTAACATGCTTCTTTTCCCAATCACTGCAACCCCAAAAGGCTGGATCACTGCAAGGCTCTCCAAAAGCAAACCACAGATCCCTCTTGACACATGGCATTTGGTAGTGAAGGAATCCTCACCCTTGGAAGCTCAAGGTTGAGGTGTCTCTCATGGCTAACCTTGACTTCCAGCATGGTAATGTGTGGACCTTGAGAAGGGAAAGCCACCTAGCTTTTTGGAGCTACAGTGTCTTCAGCTACAAAATGAAGCTGATCTCATTCCCCCCGAATGGTGCTGTGCAGATAAAATGACACAATCATATGGCAATGATCAATGGTCCCAGGCCTACATAGAAGGTGTTTGGTAAGTTTTTTCCTTCCTTTGAAAGAACTTTTCTGAGGGGAATGTGAGAAGGTGCAGAGAAGGAGCTGGAACAAAGGTAAACGGGTTTTACAAAGCCAGTTCTATCCAGTCAACACCATGTATCAACCCCTTGGCCTATGGTTTTTCAGGCCTGCAAAGGCACCTGGTTCTTTGAGACAAACACTGCCACCTGCTGGAGGAAAACTTTCATCTGCTCCTTGTAACTCCCTGCTCCTGTTTGGTTAAGGTTGGACCCCAACAAACCACCCACAGGTAGCAATGTGATAAAACTCTCAAGAGCTGGAAGAAGAAAGACTTCTACCAAACACCCTCAATCATCCCTTCACCTTCCTTCAGGCAGCAAATAAAGCCTAGCAAGTGTATCATTCACTGAGCGCACAAGGGGAACAGAGAGCCCCAATTGTACTTACTCCAGTGGCTTCCAGCTGCTTCTCCAGTTCCTGGCACCAGCTCCGGTACTGCAACACCTAAGACAAAAAAAGCAAGGCCTGGGCAGCGGACACAGCTGATGCAAACCTGAGGTCCCTGGGGATCTTGGACAAACCTGCTGTGATTGTGGGGAGTGGATGGTGGTGTTGAGTCAAAGCCGTAACATCTCAATTTCTGTGTGGGCACTGAAAGAATATTTTCTTATGCCACCTCAGTAGGAGAAAAAATTGGGCTTCAGACTTAAAAACCCATACTCAGGTCTTAGCTTTAGAATAGAAGAACAAGCAAGTTAAAGCCTTGTGAACATCATCTTTAAAGGGCATAATTCACATCTCATTGAACATCTGCCCATGTGAGTTACAAGGACTGGGTGCTCCATGTCACCCAGTTAGCAGTGGGCACTCCCACCCCATGGCTCTGCCTCTGAAGACCCTCACCCTATATTAGCAACAACGTGAGGGTTTTTGTTTTTTTGTTTTTTCTTTTTGCTAGCCATCGTCTCTCACCTTGGCCTGCAGCTTCCTCACGAGGGTGGCTTGCCTCTGCTGGGCCTCCTGAGAGCTCTTCAGCTGCCGCCAGGAGGCTGCCTGATTCTCCGCCATCTGCTGCTGCAGGGCCAGCACTTGCTCTTCCAGCACCAGCTGTAGTGACTGTGGCTTCATGCTGCTCAACCTGGGGCTGCCTGTCTCCATGGGGGCACCAGAGAGGAGGCCTCCAGTCCTTATGCTGCAGCCAAAGGCTGCTTGCTCCCCAGGGTGTCTCTGACCATCGTTTTGTCACTTGGGCTTCCTCTTGAGCTGGGAACCAAAGCACAAGGTGGAGTTAGAGGACTGTTGAAGTAGAGGACTTGGATTTACTTAGCAAATATCCAGTCTGGGAAAGCTGGGTTTGACAAAGTGCTAGGTTTGCTTATTCTAGGACCCCTGGGAACCTTTAAAATATGAAGAGGAAGCCTCATCTAACAGGGAACATGAGGATGACTATTTCCCAGACTGCCGGATCATGAGATACATCCAGAGAACGAGGGCTTCTTGGCCTGCCTTTGGAAACTCCACCTAGAACAAGAGATCTCGTTTTCTCGTTGCATCCATAGTGGCTGGCATTACAGATAGACATGAATTACGGAAGGTGAAGGGAGATGTAAACAATTACAATAAAAGTGGTGTGTACAATAATGATAAAGACAATACAGGAGAGGAGGGAAAACAAAGGGAGGGCACGTGACTCTGGGTAAGTCCTCCTCGCCACTGTTAATACCTGTAGAGTGCTTCCATGGCCCACTTTGTTAGCTGCTTTATACGTTTATGTCATGTGGTCCTCATAAGAATCTTTTCATTAGCTTATTTGAAAGGCAGAGGGATAGAGAGATAAAGCATCTGCTGGTTCATTCCCCACATGGCTGCAATGGCTAGAGCTGGACCAGGCAGAAGCCAGAACATAACTTCATCTGGATCTCCCACTAGGCGGCAGGCGTTCAAGTACCCATGCCATCATCCGCTGCTTTTCTCTGGCACCTTAGCCAGGAACTGGACAGGAAGTGGAGTTACCAAGCCCTGACGGGAACCTTGGACACTTTCAATGTCTTCCTATCATACCTCACCATAGCTACAACTATTGCTCTTTCTACATGGAAGAAAAAACGGAAGCTTAGGAAGGTCAAGCAAAGTGTACCAGGTCACACAGCTGACATTTGGTTGATAAGAAATGTGAACACAGACAGTCTTACTCTGACAAAGAAAAATATAGCAGGCATCTTAGCCAGGAGATTCAAAGAAAAAGCATGGGCACAGCATGATGGCTAAATTCTTGCCTTGCAGACACTGGGGTTCTATGAGAGTGCTGGGTATGTCCCAGCTGCTCCACTTCCCATCCAGCTCCCTGCTTGTGGCCTGGGAAAGCAGTCGAGGATGGCCCAAAGCCTTGGGACCCTGCACCCGCGTGGGAGACCCAGAAAGAAGTTCCTGGTTCCTGGCTTTGGATTGGCACAGCAGTGGCTGTTGCAGCCACTTGGGGAGTGAATCAGCGGATGAAAGATCTTCCTCTCTGTCTCTCCTCCTCTCTGTACATCTGCCTTTCCAATAAAAATAAATAAATTAAAAAAAAAAAGAAAGAAAGAATTCTGAGCTAGAAATGTTGGCTCTTTGCAACGTTGTGTGGTCTACACAAAGGTTTTTTGTTTTTTCATAGTGGCAAAACCTTAGCCTTGCAACTGTTGAGATTTCATGTGGGTGCCTGTTTATTTCCCAGCTGCTCCACTTCCCTTCCAGCTTCTGCTAATGACCTGGGAAAGCAAAAGAGGATGACCTAAAGCCTTGGTACCCTGCACCTGCAAGGGAAGCCTGGAGGAGGCTCCTGGCTCCTTGCTTTAGACTGCTCAGCTCCGGCCATTGTAGCCACTTGGGGAGTTAACCAGCAAATGGAAGATATTTCCATCTCTCCTTCTCTCTGTAAATCTGACTTTCTAACAAAAATAAATAAAACAAATCTTTAAAAAAAAAAAAACAAGAGAGGAAACTGGTGAGCGGCAAAGACTGAAGCCCAATCTGATTCTGAATTCTATGCTCTCTCCATCCCACGAATTGCTTCCAAAATACAGCCCCGAGAAATTACAATTACAATTGTTCCTCAGAAACGTGAAACGACACCTAGGCTGCGACACCTAGACCTGCAGCGTTCTGGCAGAAAAGATCAAAACATGAGTGGAGGAAGGGCAGCCCTGGTTCTAGTCTCACTTTGCCCACAGACTCACTCTAGACTCACGGAGGCCACCAAGTCTCCTTTCTGAGCCTACTCTGTAAGACAAGGATCCGAATCCTGACCTCCTCACAAGACTAACAGGGAGGTGAAATCTATGGCTGTCCATTAAACCCGAAGGCAACCTAGTCAAAGTGTTAGACAGCTTTCCAGCTCCACCGACCTGGTTGTATATCAATCAACCTGACCTACAAGTGCCTAAGCTCCATGTGTCAAATGAGGACACTTGACATGTGACATTTAGTGACACCTGACATTGTGCAAGCATCCTGCGGTGCACCTGGGGTAGAGACAGCACAACGTCCTCCAGGAATGAGCTCAGGACGCCAAGCAGCGTGCAGGAAAGCGCCTGGGTGCAATGAGCGCAAACACAGAAAAGCAGGACGCAAGCGGCGCTCCGGGAGAGGACGGAGGGAAAAGGCTCCCCGCAGACCACGCATTAGTGGGGTCCCGAATAACCCGAATCCCAGGGCAGAGGGGCAGGCAGGTGGGACTGAACTTTCGCACAAATCACGTGCAAAGCCTCCACGGGCCGCAGAAGCTGCAGGGCCCCCGGGGCGCAGCAAGCACCGGGCGCGGGACTGCGTGCACCGCCGCATCCGCTCGGCTCGGGGCTGGTGGACGGTCAGGAACGAGGGTCAGGGAGTTCTCCCACGGCGCCCGGGTGGGGGAGGAGGCGGAAGGAAACTGAGGGAAGCCTCTCGGGGGGCCTAGGACGAGTCCCAACTCTCTGGGCCTCGGGATCCTACAGGGACACGGGACACCGAGACGGGATTCCTTCAGGCGTCGGGTTCCTGGGCCTCGGACCGTTAACCAGGGCACCTCCCGCCTGCCCTAAAGCCCCATCTCACCGCTCGGGTGCCGCGGATTCCCGAAGTGCTCCAGAGGGGAGAAAAGCGACCGCAGCCGCGGCTAAGGCCCGGCAGGGGAGGGGGCAGCGCGCGGCCCAGACCCCGCCCCCCAAACTCCCGCCCTTTGGATGGTGGGGCCCTCCCCCGCCTCAGGCCCGGCCAGGTCCGTCCCGCCCCGCCGAGAGTCCAGGGCGCCGCGCTGCGGCTGCCGCCATGTTGGACACTGGCAGAAGATTGATTGGAGAGCCTCAGAAGGAAGGAGGAGGTTATAACTGAGATATTACATCCCCGCTCCAGGGTGGGGGACAGCCAGAGTATCTGGATTCCATCAAGGGACATAATGAGAACAGAAACACTTGCCCTCAACCACCAACCCGTCTGACTTCAGAGTCACCTACTGCGCATGTGCAAGAACACCTGGTTCTAACTGCGCCTGCGCACTGCTCACTCCTCGCATTCCTAGCGTAATTACAGCTCCGTGGAAAAATCAGGCAACGGGCTCCTGGTTCGCAACCAAATCTGCAGGGCGAATCGCTGTAGAGTTTTCTCACATTCTGAGCCCGACGCTCCAAAGAACTTCAAGCGACGGCACTCACAGCAGCTTTCATGTTGGTTCGGCCGCTGTACTGTTTGGTTCAGGTGTTGTTAACGTTTAAGGGGTTAACACCTACCTGCGTCCAGAGAGCTAAGGTTTTTCTGTTAAGCTTGACTTCTTCGGGAGGATGTTCATTTTATCCCTTCTGAAACTCGGGCGATGCACTCGTGTCGGATTTTTTTTTTTTTTTTAATAATCAGTACACTCTGGTAGAACTATAAATTTCATTTACCGGCCACTTACTTCCATTCGAAGTTCTCAATTTTTAGTAGAGATTAGCAAACAAAACACAGGGAATTTATCAAATGCACAATTTTGCATCTACCTCTAGAGATTCAGTAAACCAGTGTCCTGCATTTCAGCAAATACCCCCAGATGATAGTGATTTCTCTGGGCATGAGACTGTGAACACCTGGAGAGGAGAGACGCTTTCACCATCAAAAGACCCGGTGCAGAACAGGTGCTTAGAGTGGAGTTTGCTAAGTGCTTGGTGAATGAGTAACAGGAGAGAACCAGAAAGTAGACTTTCTAGTTAAGATGCAATCAAAAAGAGTGGGAGAAGAGAGCAAACACTTGGTTAACAAATATATGGTTGTCTTGCTCCTGTAGTCTTAAAAATGTTCTCAGTAGCTACTTAGGTAAAAAAGAAGTGGGGATAGAGAAAAAAGAATTTGATTCTGAAACAATACAATCTACCAAGAAGGAATATCTCCAGTCCCTGAATAAAGAAAAACATGCCAAGAAGTCATGATTTTTTAAAAGGGGGATGATGAGAGTGTGGTTCAACAGGCTAATTTTCTACCCTCTTTCTTTTTCTTTAAATATTTATTTTTATTGAAAAGTCAGACATACAGAGAGAAGGAGAGACTGAGAGGAAGATCTTTCATCCACTGATTCACTCCTCAAGTGGTCGCAACAGCTGAAGCTGTGCCAATTTGAAGCCAGAAGCCAGGAGCTTCTTCCAGTTCCAGCACATGGGTGCAGGGTCCCAAGGCTTTGGGCCGTCCTCGACTGCTTTCCCAGACCACAAGCAGGGAGCTGGAGTGGAAGCAGGGCTGCTGGAATTAGACCTGGTGCCCATATGGGATCCTGGCACATATAAGGTGAGGATTTTAGCCACTAGGCTACTGCACCAGCCCATCTCTACCCTCTTGTGCCAGCTTCCTATATAGACACTCATTAGCATCCTGACTGTACCACTTCCCATCCAGCTCCCTGTTTATGGCTTGGGAAAGGAGTCGAGGATGGCCTAAAGTCTTGGGACCCTGCACCCAAGTAGGAGACCCAGAAGAAGCTCCTAGCTTCAATCAGCTCAGCTCTGGCCGTTCTGTCCACTTTGGGAGCAAACCAGCAGGTGGAAAATCGACTGCTCTGGTTCTCATTAGCTTCGTGTTAACATGCCTGGGAAGGCAGCTTATGACGGCCCAAGTACTTGGGCCCCTAGTGAGAGAACAGGATCCAGTTCTTAGCTCCTGTCTTTAGTCTGCTGCATTACTGGCTGTTGCCACTATTTGCATAGTGAACCATACTAGGCCGAGCAGAAATGACTCCAGCACCCTGCCAAAGTCCAGGAATGTCTGGGATGCTGTGTTGCCCAGACCTTGTCTCTGCGCAGGTCAACATCTGCCATGATGACACACAAGCATGTACAAACTGAGGAGCTGCTACCCACTCCCATCCACTGCACCGAAGATGTAGAAAAGCCAAGTGCTGGGCCAAGGGTGGCAGCCCAGGAGCTAAAGTCCTCACCTTGCACACATCGGGATCCCATATGGGCTCCAGTTCATATCCTGCCTGTTCCACTTTCCATTCAGCTCCCAGATTGTGACCTGGGAAAGAGGTATAGGATGGCCCAAAGCCTTGGGATCCTGCATCCGCATGGGAGACCCAGAAGAAGCGCCTGATTCCTGGCTTCAGAGTGGTTTAGCTCTAGTTATGGCTACTTAGGGAATGAACCAGTGGATAGAAGAATTTTCTGTCTTTCCATCTCTCTATATCTGCCTTTCCAGTAAAAAATAATAATAATAATAATAAAATAAAATCTTTTTTTAAAGCAGAGGATAGAGAACTTGTGTAGGAGTACTTCTAGCTGTTTTGGGGTATTTTCACCCCTCCTTGCGGACAACTGGAAGGGACCAGTGCCTTAAGTGCTCCAGCCCAGTGACTAGGGGAGTGACTTCTCCAGGGATCCTGGTGCGGAATCTATCACTGCTGCCTCCTACCTAACAGCAAGAGATGAACCTGCTACAGCTCTGGTGGCAGTCCCAGGCGAGGCTGCAGTGTGGCTTACTCTCCCACAATCTGTCAGGGAGGGTTTCCTTGGAAGCTCCGTAGGAGCCGAGTGAAGGAGAGCCTGCATAGCCCCATTCCAGGTCGTGTTCAGTCAGACTGCATGGAAGGGTCGAGGGGCCCCAGAATAAGAAATGAAGTGAATGAGCTTGATCATGGAGATGGCTTTGCAAAGAAAACTGAGACATAGAGTCCAGCAGGGAACCCCAGAAAACCCTCGGAAACACCCCTGGGTGCTTGGAGGATGATCAAAGCACCTGCTAGACCCAAGATGATACAGGTTCCCCTGCTTCTTCTCTGTGTCAGCACGGACTGAAGGGAGCTGAGGCCAGAGGGGAGAAAAAGAAGAAGAAGAGGAAGAAGAAGAAGAAGAAACCAACCACTTTCTCCTTTTTTCCCACAAGCTATCAGTGTGAACCAGAGCCGAGGGAACTCAATGAATATTCTCTCTTACTGTAGATTATAAACAGTTTCTTACTGTTCTGCCTTTTATGTGGCAAGTCCTGAGCTAGACATTGAGAGGGACCCAAAAGCAAAACAAATAATGCATGACTCTGTCTAGTGCCACAGTTCCTAGACTCTCGGGGAAAGAAACAGCTATTTCATGTCCTTGACTCTGAAGGAGGAGCATGCCAAGCAGGCATGGTTAGGGCACTGCTGGGTGTTTGAGCACAGGGGTTCGGGACTGTTACAAATATACCCCCTGGAACTCTTCTGCTAGTGTGCAAATCTCCCTGGCCTGGCCTGGGTGATTCCACAGTAATGCAATGCCCTCTAGTGGCAGGTTTTTATTCTCCTTGATCCTGATTCTACCTCCTTGGGCAGTTATGCCGGGTCATAATTGACCAGCTGCCCTCACACTTCACATTTCTTAAAAGGGAGGGAGTGGCATCTTTCGACCACCTGGTCCAAATGTTTGATCATGGCTCCCACAAGACCAGGTCTTCTCATGGCTCTAACTCAAACTTTTAATTACATGCTGAACTGGGAATGTATCACCGTCTCCCCCCACACAGCAGCAGCGGAAACCCTAAAGTCCTGGACAGAAATCGGACAAAGGAACATGACAGAAATTTCCAAACACTAGACCTAAGTCACACTCGCCTGGCTTTGAACTACGGGCTTTGCCAGTGTCTCGGAAACCGATTTCCTCTCTGTCAATTCCAAACCTCTCAGCTGCCAAGTGAAACTAGTACTTGTGTTCCTGTGTGGGAAGTCCATGGTGGGAGGTTTCTGAGCTCAATGATGACAGTAAGACTACCAGGTCCCCAGCAGTAATTACTGGTCCTCTGTGGGGAAATAGACTGAGATGGGAGGGGAAAACTGCTCATTTGCTCTCTCTCTCTCTCTTTTAAGATTTATTTATTTTTATTGGAAAGGCAGATATACAGAGAGAGACAAAGAGAAAGATCTTTCGCCTGATGGTCCACTCCCCAAGTGGCCACAACGTCTGGAGCTGAGCCAATCCAAAGTCAGAAGCCAGGAGCTTTCTCCAGGTCTCCAACGTGGACACAAGTTTCCATTGCTTTGGGCCATCCTCCACTGCTTTCCCAGGCAACATTCAGGGAGCTGGATGGAAAGTGCAGCAGCTAGGATATGAACCGGCGTTGTTTTGCGATTCTAGTGCTTGCAAGAGGAGGATTAGTCATTGATTAGTCATTGACTAAACTGAGGGACTAGTGTTGTGGGGAAGTGGGTAAAGCCATTGCCCTGAGATTCTGGTATCCCAAATGTGTGCTGGTTCATGTCCTGACTACTCCTCTTCCAATTTGGCTCCCTGCTAAAATGCCTGGAAAAATAGTGAATGATGGTTCAAGTGTTGGGTCCCTGTCACCCACATGGGAGACCAAAATGAAGCTCCTGGCTCTTTACTTGCACCTGGTCCAGCACCAGCCATTGAAAACATTTGGGGAATGAACCAGCTATTGGATGATTATCTCTCTCTCTCTCTCCCTTTATATATATACTCTTTCAAAATAAATAAATCTTTTTTAAAAATGGACTGAGAGACCTAGGTATGGTGTGAGAGCAAGACTGCCTTTTTTTTCGGACAACTGGAATTTTTTGTCCTCATGAATCCATATTACTTTTCTTACTAATGTTTATTTTCAAGAGTTGTTTTTTTTTTTTTTTTTAAGATTTATCCTGATTCATGCAAGGTGAGGACTTTAGCCACTAGGCTATCGTGCTG